AAAAATGAAGGTGATGTAAAAACAAAAAGAGCAATCCAATTTTTAAAAATGAGAGCAGTGAAGTTGAGTGGCTTATATTTCTCTAAGTAAAAAATAGGAAAAATTTCTCTTTAGTCACTTTTAGGGGATTTCTTTCAGTGAGCTTGTTGCCTTGTTTACAAAAAAAAAAATCCCCTCTCCCACCATTGCTTTTAGAGTTCATCCTTCCCTGGTGGTGGGAGGTGGAGAAGGAAAGAGACAGAAATTCTCTTTTACTGCATGAGGCAGGGCCCCAATGCAGGGGCTTTGAAGTCAGCTTCTAGTTCTTACCCCTCCTCCACCTTCTGCCCTGGCTCAGCTCTGTATTATCTGCATGACATCTTAGCAAGCCTCTTCCATAGAGAAGCTGACCTTCTGTGTCAGGGCTCATCTGGATTTACTTTCTGCCTGAAGGAGCTGGAGAAAGGAGTGGGAAATCAATTTCTCTTCACCCAGAAGGGTTAGTTTTCAATAACTTTTAAAGGAGATAGATGGACAGACAGACAGAATGGTGATAGAAAGAGATAATCAGGAAGAAAGAGAGGTAGACAAAGAGGAAGAAAAAAGAGGGAGACAGAGGGAGAAACAGAGAGAAGAAAAGGAGAGCAGATTAAGAAGAGGAAGAGAAAAAAGGAAAGACAGACAGAACAGAAGTGGGAGAAAAGAAAGTCAGAGAGCAGACTAGGATGAAGACTGAAGGATAGAGGAGAGAGGGACGCAGACAGACAGGGGGCGGGGCAGCGGCGGGAAAGAGGCGCTGTCTTCTAGAAGGCTGAGGCACGTTCTTGTAGCTCAATCTACCAGCCTGGCTCTCCTATTCCTGCTCGCTCCCTCTTCTCTTTTCCAGGATGTGCGGAGGAGACTGCAATACGGGGTGGGGGTCGGGAAACGGCCGCCATGGTCAGACCCCCTTGTCAAGGCCATTGAGGTCTTCGACAACCCTCCTCACACACACCAAGCGCGCACACACAAACACACATACACAGCCCCCCATACACACACACACACACACGCACACACCTCCGTCCCTGCAGGCGGCTCGGGGCCAGCGGGGCAGCGCGGACATTCGGGAAAGGCCCGCCTCCGGGTCTGCACCTGGAGAAACGGTGGGTGCCAGGGGCGGGAGCCGGGAAGAGGTCCCTGGATCTATGGGATGGTGACCTGAGGGCGCCGGGCTCCAGGGAGGCCAGATGGTCGTCCCTTGCTGGCCCAGAGGGCCCAATTCTTTTTTGTAGTTTAGCGGATGGGCTGCGGCCGCAGATGGAACCCTGGAAGGCTACAGGTTCAGTTCTGCAGTGGACAGCACCTGGACAGAGCTTTTTCTGCCGGGGAAGGTGACTATCTCAGTTAGGCCCAAAGTAGGTTTGGCTACTTGAATTACCCGGATAATACCTGCCTGGCCACGTAGACTTACGCTCTGACCTAAGTCTGCCCCCTTAATTTGCTCATATTTTGCTCCAGAGCCTGGCCCTAGGGCTACTGCTGCTTGATCTGTGATAGCTCATTAGCACCAGGGCTCTAGCGCAGCTACGCCCAATTTGCATATATCTGCGTATATCTACATACACCTGCGTTTCTCCCCTTCTCGGTCCATTCACATTTTTTTCTCCTTGAATTTTTCTAAGAAAGTCAAATTCCTTGGAAAATCTCTCTCATCCCTACCCTCAGGTGTAGGGTTGGGCTGTGAGCCCCTTAATTCCCCTGCCCTACCCGGTTTAATACCCTGCACCTGATGGAAGGACCGACTAAGATCCCTCACATGCCAATTCTGTCTGGGTCTAGAGGTACCAAGACTAGGTCACTGGGGGCTATGGGTCGGGGGTCACTGTGAACTAGGGCTGCGGCGTGAGGCTTCAGCTGCTGTTTGAGGGGGGAGGGGGGACTGCTAAGGTAAAAGAGAGTTGGAATGAAGAGTAGAGGAGGAGTGGGGTTAGGAATAGGCTATTTCGGTAAAGTGGAACTGTTGGACGGGCCTCTTGAGGTATTCATTTTGGCAAACACTGATTAAGCACCTACTAAGTGCCAGCTAAAAGGCTCCCTTTACCAATTTCCCTAGGGCTGAAGGAAATGAGAGTGGGGAATGGAAGTGCGTAATCTTCCACAGAGTTATGAAGATGTGGAGGAGGGAGTCTGGGAGGAAGGTTGAAAGTTCAGACAATCAATCTCCAGCAACCTAAAAGAGGTTCCCAGGGCCTTGTTCTCCTCAGGGTCACTGCCCTTCCCAATATCCCCCTCTGCCTTCCCATTCAACTTCCAAGGGTAGAACCCAAAGAACTAATTCCATTCCTTATTCCTGGGCCTTCCCCCAGTTCTCTGAGGGTAATATTGAGTCAGGCCTCCTTAGGGATTTCCTCTTTGGCTTTCAGGCCTGGAGGTCCCTAGAGATCATCTTTAAAAAAAAAAAAAGCTAGTATTTATCTGTATCCCTGCCTCTGCCTAGGCTTCCTTTGGGAGATAGTTCTGCCCACCAGGGAACAACTCCCTCCTGATTTCCTTACTCTCCACCCCCAGCACACAGGGACACAACTTTATATGAGAAAACTGTCATGTACATCTGCTAGTACATAGTAGACCCACTTAGTTCCCCACACAAACACCACATAGATAAATTACTATTAGATTCTAAATTCTTTGAAGGGAAAACCCCACCAGATATTCCCTCCCTAGCTTCCTAATCCCATAGTGAGGATTAAGTAAATATTTGATGAATAAAATAAGATATGAACCAAGAGAGGCTGCCATAGCCTAGTAGGTAGAGAACTAACTGGCCAGATAGCCAGGAAGACCTGGCTACAGTCCTTCCTCTCCTTGACAGATACTGGCTGTGTGACCCTAGGCAAGTCATTTAACCTCTAAGTGTTCTAGGCAACTCTCCATGACTATAAATTGCAGATAGGGTACTTACCTTAGTAGAGGAACTTCCCATTGAAGTCACAGGTTCCATCTCTATTCCTACGTACCTAGAGATATGTACTTGAATAGACACAAATATATAGAGTGTGCATTAGGATAAGTACAATAGGAAACTTGTCAGGTCACAATGAGAGATGCTTTTTAAAAAATATTTTAATATATTTTGCTTTGACACAGATGATATATGCCAACAAATATTTGCTATACATAACACATGCCCTAAAACACTTGAACAAAGCTGCCTTAAAGAGTAACTCTTCCACCAAGTCACTTCCTAGTTCTGTAATTTGTTGTCCCCCCTTCCCCACACTTTTCAATAGAAAGAAAGGACTTGTACTTTAGCTTTAATAATTTGGCACCAACATTGAAGATGAGGAAACCTGTTCTTTTGAAAAAATATTTTATAGTTACAGAGCATGTCAGTTAGCTCATTTGATCTCTGTCATTGTCATATGGAAGTAAGTAGGACCTATATTATTACTGTCATCTTCCAAATGAGGAAAACAAGGCCCATACAGGTGCAGAGTTCTGTCCTTGACCACATGACTATGGTCTGTTTTTTTAAAAAAAATTATTATCTATTGTTTTTATAATATGGACTCTTTTTTTAATGACGGTTTAAAAAAAGTAGTGAGGTTTAAATATAGAAAATCCTCCCTACACTTTTTTTTTCTAATTAGTTAGGGCCTAATTTTGTAAGGTTAACCTCCTGGTGAAGGCTCCAGCAGACAGTCACAAACAGGGGGCGCAATTTCCAAACTTTGCCGAGTGTGTGCACTGGCTCTGCCGACGTTCCACACAAACACAATTCACAGGCATGCACACTGCCCCTTCTACATCCTCTAATTAGGGCTCCTGTGGCCTAGGTTGGGGAGAAGAATGGTTTGAAGCTTATCCTGTCCAAGATTTCCCCGTCCTCTCCGTTACACATCATACACGCCCGCACTGGGTTAATGCTGACCACATAGACAACCTTCGCTCAAGGTCAAGGACTGATTTTCTCTCTCTCTCTCTGTTTTGCTGCTTAACTGTAGAGCGAAAAGATACAAATAATTTCAGGCTCCCTCCACCAAATACAAACACAGCACCAGTCCCAGCCAGGCCAGCTAGTCCTCTCTCCCTCGGAAGGGCTTAGCTGATACAGGTTCCTGAACTCCCTTTAGAGAGGAGTCTGGTAAGAGCTGTAGCTGTTAAGGGAAATGAGAGGCGGGAGAGGGACAAGAATAAGAGAGAAGACGGATTCTCCACAGATTCTGCAGCCCCTGTGTCCTCCCCAGGTGGAGCTGTGACGCCAAGGCCTATGAAGAAAAACCAAATGTGGTGCGCCCCCCCCCCCACTCCGCCCCAATGAAACGGGCCGCGGCTACTATCGAGTCAGAGAAGAGGCTCAGAGCCCAAATGGGTTGGGGTCCAAATAGACCGCGGGTTACCAGTCACAGTTCAAATCTACAACACCTGGATGCACGCTAGAAAAGGCACTTTGAGAAAAGCCAAAGCCTCACGAGACTCTCTCCAGTTCCCTCCTTGATGATAACCTCGAGAGTGGACGAGAGGTCCGTAGCCCTGAGACAGGGAAAGTTTTACCCCGGGGTTCCGGGCACTCAGCACCCACGGAGGTCCTTCCAGGTCTGGGTCCCTGCTAGAGAGGTTTCCCTTGGGGTGGAAGATCTAAGCTTCCTCCTATTCCCCAGTATGGGCTTACGAGTGTGGGTCTGTCCCCCTCTCTGTAGATACCCCATCTTTGCATCTTCACCCCACGGGCTGTACCGGGTGCCTCACCCTGCTCGTTCAGGGGATCTCGGGTCCCTAAGAGGCGATTCTCCCACGCGTGAACACGTGCGGATCTTCGCTTCGTAGGACCACGCCCCCTGCGCCTACTGCTCCGCAGGGATTGGTGGGGAACCCTTCCCCCTCCCGCGGCCCTAGCCCCGCCTCATTCCCTCCAGAGCTCCACCTCCCAGAGAAGAAGCCCCGCCTTCCTTGGATGTAGATTGGCTGAGTCCCACGGACTGCGTTTGCTGTTTGGCCCCGGCAGGTGACGGTCTCAGATGCGTCCCCGCCCCCTGCCTGGGCCGGGGTCCGGAGAGCGGCTCCGTGGGGCGGGGGCCAGGACTGGGGCTAGGGATACGGCCGGGGCTGGGCCAGGGGCTGGAGCCAGGGCCAGGGCTGGAGCTGGGGTCCGGGCGGCCGCATTGACATCTCTGTCAGCTGGACCATGGAGATTGGCGCTTGCCCGAGCCCCCAGCGCCTGCTTATCTGCCTGCAGCCGCTCTTCCTCTCGCTCCTTTTGGGGCCCAGCCGGCCTGTCACCGCCGAGGAGGGTAAGTCTGGGACCCGAAGCCAGGGGGCTAGAGAGCTACAGGGGTCAGTGGTCGGCGTTGAGGAGCCAGGGCCCAGAGGGCTGGAGGGTCTGGAGCGGGGGGAGCCAGAGAGTCAGGAGAGGCTACGGAGATCGGGGGGTGTGCGTAGACAGGGCCAAAGACTAGTAAGGTAGAGAGACTGAGGGGAGGAGGGAAGTCCGAGAAACCAAAAAGGGATGGAGCCACGGGATGATAGGGCTAGTTGGGGGGGGGAGGGTGTATTGGGAGGCGGGGCATTTTGTGGTACTTGGAGAAAAGATGTTCCGAGACACTGAGGGAGGAGTGTCTGGAAGACTAGAGGGGGTTTCCAAGACTTGGGGAGATGTCCAAGAACTGCAGATGGGGAGGAATATTGGGGGTCCTGGATGCTGAAGAGAACTTCCAAAAGACTAGAGAGGTGTCTGAGAAAAGAGGATATTGCGGGATGTATAAGGGAGACCTTTGCGAGGGAGATAGAGGACAAGGAAGAGATAAGGATGGTGGGTAGATCTCAGATTGGCTAAGGGGCTGAGGAGATGGGAAAACGTGGGAAATGAGGAAGACCAGGAGTGGGTGAGATAGACCAAAAGGCCAGAAAATCAAGAAGACAAGCAAGAGCCCGAGTCGCTGTCCATGGTACTGCCAACCTCAGCCGATTCTCTGGTCAGAATAGGGCGGACCCAAGGGCTGGGCTCCTCCCTCTGTTGGCTGTAGCTGGGCCGAGACACACGTCTGGAAGCAAAGACTGTTCTGGGGGCCGCTCCCCACCCCTGGCTTTAGTTGGCTACCCTAGGGCAGCTGTCTGTCATAGTAACTCTGGCTCTGGGCGACTTCTCAGATGCTGCCTTATTAGCAGAGGGGCTGATCAATGTCCTCATACCTTCCCCAGGAGAAAGCCATCAGGTGTTTAAGAGGGCTACCCCTCTGAAGTTCGAAGCCATTTCCCTTCTTTCTCTAAGCTTACGTGAAGGACGTGAGAAAAGATAGCTAGAGAAAATGTAGAGAGGGCTTAATCCTTCCCCTATCTGAGGATTTAGACATGGAGTGTAAGGGGATAGTCTGAGTTTAGACTGGCAGAGAGATACCTTGGAAACTCATTTGAGGGTCTACTTTGACAAAAAAAAATGGATTCAAATCCCAGCTCTCTTACTACCTACATGCCCTTCCTTATTCAAGTCACTCTCTCCACTTCGTCAGTACTTCATATGTAAGGAGATAAGATTGTACCACTGAAGTCCCAGAGAACTTCCAATATTACGTATCATGATACAATCTTCCCCTACCACTGGAATGCCAGGTGAAGAGGGGAGCACGGCAGAGATTGGGAATATTTCTGGAGAGGGAGCTGGGTTTTGTTGACCTGGACATTCCCCTCCATTTAGCATCTCTATCTATAAAGAGACACCTTTTCTACCATGCTAGTCAAACTTAAAGGCAGGAGCTAGGCCAGATGCCTATAGGATTCTGCTATACCAGTCCCTATAATATCCCTCTGGCTTACAAAGATCATACAATCTAAGGAGTCAGAGTTATCCCAAGAGACTTCTAAGGGTTTCTGATCCTCTTTTTAGATGAATCAGCTTAAAGTCTCTACACAGAGATTCAAAATGTTCACTCCTCACTCCAGCCATTGGCATTCCTCCTCAGGGATCTAGGGGTATAGAAGGAGCCCTGATTTATCCCACTGCACTCCTTAATCCTGTTTGGGACATCTCCACCCCTCCCACTGCACTAACATTTTTCACTCCCTCTTTCTAGTTGTCCTTCTGGATTCCAAGGAATCCCAAGCTGAGCTAGGCTGGACTGCACTACCCAGTAATGGGGTGAGTCTTTCCTTCTCTTTCCTGCTCCTTGAGTGGTAAGGGTAGAAATGGGAGTGGTGAGTCCTTCCACCTCCACATGGGCTGAAGTCAGAGTCCTCTTTAGTGATAGATCCTTAGGCAGCTCTGGGGCTGCAGCCCTTCTCTCTCCAGATTATGGTTACACACAGCCAATTGGGAGTCTTGGCTCCTCTGGCCAATTAGCCAGTCCAAGAAGCCAGCTGCTCTCCTCTGGGAGTAGCTGACAATAACTGCCTTGCCTTCTCTTTTCCACCCCTTTGAAGGACACAGTCCATCCAGTCTGTCTGTTGTGGGCCTCAGAATTCTAGACACCAAGGTTCTGGGCTCAAGAGTTCCGAGCTTCCAGGGCCCAGTTGGTGTGAGATCTATACTGCAATGCAGCTGCTGTCACTGCAGCTCAAGTGCAGTTTGGTCACCAGGAAGCTGGTATCAGCCACCTGCTCTACAGATGTCTGATTATCTGTCAGTGTACTGATAGGGGTGGGGAAGAAGACCATAGGTTACCAAGGGGACAAGGTTAGATTAAGAGCCTCAGCTGGAGAGTCATTGACATCTGGTTTCTGTAGCCAACTGTTGGAAGGTGCAGTCTGGGGACAAATAAAGGTGCTCCATTTTACCTCAGTTTCCCCATTTGTAAAATGATTATCCGTAGCAAATGTTTACTGCCATGTTCTCTCACCCCACTACCCAACATGTTTTATCAGGACAAATCATCTTCTGCTGTATGCTCATGGCATGTAGATTTATTTAATATGAAACTGAATGAAAAATTATTATATAGGCAAATCTTAAATGGAAGTCCTTACAGTGTGTATCAAAAACAAAGAGATATGACTATTGGGTAATTCCTTTTACTACTTCCTTCCACAACAGAAATTATCAACAATCCCAGCTTGGTTAGACTGTATAGGCTGTTATCACCACTGGGCATCATGTAGTGGAAAAGGGTACCAGATTTGGAATCAGAGAATCTGGGCACTGATACTACCAGGGTGATCTTGGACAAGTCACTTTTCTCTCTTCAGGCCTTGCTTTCCTCATGTGTAAAATGAGGGAGTTAACTACGTAGTGGCTAAGGTACCTGCCAGATCTAACATGATCTGACTCTATAAAATATGGTTTCTCTATAGGCATTGGTGTTGGACAGTGCCTTGCACAAAACAGGCCCTCAGTAAATATCTGTTGATTGATTGAGTCAGTGTCCTTCCCATTGACCAGCCTCAACCAATTAACAAAGATTTATAGGAAGTCTGCTACATGTAAGGCACTGTCCAACGCTGATACCTCTGGTAAGTCATGGAGAGCTCCCAGGGTCACAGACCCAAGTGTCAGAGACGGGTTTCTATCTCTGCACTCTATCCACCATAACACATTACTTCTATCAATAGTAATACCAAAATAGCTCAAATCCCTACAGTGTTTAAAATTGTACAGTACTCATTCATTTTCCTATTTCATGCTCATAAAAGTCCTACGAAGGAAGCGGGGGGTGGGGGGACTTGGAATCAGGGAACAATGGATTAAAATCCTGCCTCTGAAACTTACCATGTCTGAGATTCTGGACAAACTCAATAATAATAGCTTACATTAACATATTGCTTTTAAGATTTTCCAAGCATTTTACATACATTGTCTCTTTTTATCTCTCACAGCAACCCTGTGAGGTAAAAGCTATTATCACCTCCACTTTACAGATGAGGAAACAGCAGACAAAAGAGGTTGAGTGACTTCCTCTACTTCACTAAGCTAGTGTCTAAGAAAAGATTTGAGCAGAAGTTTTTCTAACTCCAAGTCTAGTAGTCTATACACTAACTTCTATGAATGTCAGATAATTCCCTAGTACTTCTTTAATAAGTAGTAGATAGGTTTTGGTGGAGAGAATTTACACACCAGGAGTTCCCTGAAGCTATCACAGATCACATATATTTGTATGGAAAGACTTGGACCTAAGTCCTTTCATGGAGTAGCCTTGGCCTGAGCTTGTGGATGCTATGGCAGGTGACTACCTTCTAAGAGAAAGCCCCAAAGGCTCTGGAGTGTTTGATCATCCAAGGACAGAGGATTTCGATCAGACTAGTCTAATTTAATGCCTTAATTTTACAGATGATGAAACTGAGGACAAGTGAGGGAAAGTTTGTTAGAGGTTCATAGGGTTTAGAATTTGAAGGAACCTCATTTTACACAATAGAACCAGAGGGAAATGGACTTGCCCAAGGCTGCATTATATGTCAAAGGCAGTGTCAAGGCTCGATCCATAAAATCAGAATGTTAGAGCTTGTAAGGAAGCTTAGAAATCATCTAGTGTACTCCTCAAGAAGATCAAGTTCAAATCCTAGTAACTGTGTGACCTTGGACAAGTCGTTTAACCTCGGTCTCAGTTTCTTGAAATGTAATATGGGAATTATAATAGCACCTACCTCCCAAGATTGCTGGATGGAGCGTATAAAATAAAATTTATAAAGCACCTAGCACAGTGCCTGGCACTTGGTAGGCACTCTGTAAATGCTACTTCTTGTTGTTGTTATAATTTTAGATGTGAGGAAACTGAGATTCCTGGAAGTTAAGTGATTTGTCCAAGATCACACAGCTAGTAAGTGGGGAGTCAGAATTTGAACCCATATTTTCTAGCTGTGAGCATCCAGTGCTCTGTCTGCGGTACTACATACCACCCTGTGCAAAACAGGCAGCCTTCTTCTCCTGCTGGACACTCATCTGCCCTTCTCCCCCCTGCCCCTTTCTGCAGTGGGAAGAAATCAGTGGAGTGGATGAGAACGACCGACCAATCCGAACCTACCAGGTGTGCAACGTGCTGGAACCCAACCAGAACAACTGGCTGCAAACAGGCTGGATTGGGCGGCGTGGTGGGCAGCGGATTTTCATCGAGCTCAAGTTCACACTTCGGGACTGTAGCAGTATCCCAGGGGTGGCAGGATCTTGCAAGGAGACCTTCAACCTCTACTACACTGAGGCAGAAGCGGAGGCTGGGGCAGGAGTAGAGGGGGAGGGAAAGGGCGGGGCTGGTCTAGGTGGAAGCCTGAGCGAGAGCCGCCAGCGCAAGGTGGCTACCATCGCAGCAGATGAGAGCTTCACCCAGGGTGATCTGGGCGAGCGGAAGATGAAGCTCAACGTGGAGGTGAGGGAAATCGGGCCACTGAGCAGGGACGGCTTCCACTTGGCCTTCCAAGATGTGGGCGCCTGCGTGGCACTGGTCTCCGTGCGAGTGTATTACAAGCAGTGCCTGGCCACAGTGCAGAACCTGGCAGCCTTCCCAGACACTGTGGCGGAGGCTGCCTTCTCGTCGCTGGTGGAGGTCACTGGCACGTGTGTGGCCCATTCAGAGGGGGAGCCCGGCCGCCCTCCCCCCTCGAATGCACTGCAGTGCCGACGGGGAGTGGCTCGTGCCTGTCGGCAGGTGTAGCTGCAGCGCTGGCTTCCAAGAGCGGGAGGAGTCCTGTGAAGGTAAGTGGACGTTCTACTGAGCTTTGGCAACACTTTGTAGACATGACCTCATTCAAGTCTCAACACCACCCAGTGGCAATAGGAAAACCAGGGCTTGTTATTCTTGTTTGACAGATGAAGAAACCGAAACTCAGAGGGGAAGTGACTTGCCCTCTGTCCGGATTCAAACGAAGCAGGGTATTAGACTGCCTCTGATAACAGCAATAATAACAGCTTACATTTGCATAGCATTGTTCAAAGCACAACAGCCCAGTGAAGTAGAGAACTCCCCATTTTACAGATTTGAAGGGTGAGAATTTAAATGACTTGCCCAAAGTCACAAAGTAACTGAGCTGCCGTTTGAACTCAGGTCCTCTGAGTATGTATCTAGTGTTCTTACACCCATTGACTCAGATGGATGAGGAAGGGCTTTAATGAAGTGAAAGGGAAGGTTACTTGGTCTACACTAGATAGGAGTCCTTTTGGAAAGGTGAATGTGAAATCTTTGTGAGGGTACAGTCAGAGCGGGAAGTCTGATTTCCCAGGGTGGGATTCCTCTTCAGAGCCTGGTGCAGACCCATTCCCATTTCCATGAGGAGTAGGGGTCCTGGTAGACTGTCTAGGAGCTTATATCACTGTTGATTCCTCCTTCTCCCCTAACCACTTCAGGAAAAAAAGCAAATAGTGAAGTTCCCCCATTGCCTTACCAAGGTCCAGGATAAAGTCCCATTAGCCTTGAGGAAAGCCCAACTTGCATATGGGCCCATGGGAAGACAAGAAGGAGCCCAAGTCTATGGTGAGCGCAAGGGCAGGCAGATTTGGGGGGTATCATATCTTAGGCACTGCTTTGATCATGTCACTCTGTTTGATAGCCTTCATTGGCCTCCTACAGCTCACTTAGTCTGGCATTTTTCCTCTACTATTTGATGTCACCCAACTCATCTTTGTTTATCTTCTACTGTTCTCCAGCATGCAAAGTACACTCCAGCCAGACTAAATTACTGTACAGATCTCATACTTTCCCACCTCTGTGGCTTTGGTCACAATATTCCCCGAGTCTTCTCCCATCTCCTTCCCAACATTATCTCAATCTGTTGCCATCCTACTTCAAAGCCCAACTCAAATACAACTTCATCCCAGAAGCCTTCCCTGATTCCTTCAGTCAACACTTCCTTTTCAGTCTTCACAGAGTACTTTGTATGTTTGATTCGTATTAAATCACATAGCTATCTGAGTATACATCATATCCACCTGCTAGACTGTGAGCTCCATGGAGGCAAGAATTATGTTTTGTTCATCTTTGTATCCCTTTCTCTGTGCCCAATACAGTGCATTGGATATAATAGTTAATTAATAAATTTTTGTTGAGTTGAATTGAGATCCCTCTCTCCATCTCCCTCTAATTTCTAGGGATTCCATCCCCAAACTGGCTCATCAGTTCCAAGTCTTGGCACCCACATCTGAATCTACCCTTCCACACTGCCAATGGTTTCCTCTGAATTCCTGCCCCTGTCCTATATCTTGAGGAACCTTAGGCCTTGTTGTATGCAAGGCTCGGATGGGTTGAGCATTCAGACTGCAGTTCTATGTGCTTGAAGGGATTGCAGACTATAAGGAAAGGGACCAACCCAGGGAAGGAGGGACAAATTGAGGGAGGGTTGGAGAAGGAGGGACAGAGACTCAGTTTTTCTGGCCCCTTTGGTCTGTGATAGGGCCCAGAAAAAAGCTATGAAGATTTGATAGCCTCAGAAAGACTGAGCTGCCATTCTTCCATATATCAACAAATGATCAACCATTGATTTAGAAATCAAATGTACTTTAGAGATCATCTTCTCTAATACTCCTTATTTCAAAGATGGAAGGGAAGAGCCTTGGCCAAGGTCACAAAGCTGTCAGTTTTGGGTGAGCTAGAAAAGTCCTATCAAAAGACTGTGTCTGCTGTCCAAGAACCATTCCTATCTCAGTGTGGAGGGACTTCTTCCCCAGGGCAGGTAGGATTGGCCACCATTTTTTTGTGTATATATGCATGCCTGTAGTTGTGACCTTATATTGGTGAAGGGACTTCTCAAAGTGATGACTCCTGGATCTCAACAGATAGTGAAGGAGACTACCCCATCAGCTTTTCTGTCTGCTCCACCTTACTTCTGATTTGGACTCCAGCTAGGCATCTGGTTCTGATTCTCTCTCTCTAGCCCCAGCCCCTGGGCCTAGTCCCAGCCTCTAATTTCTAATGTCATGGGTTTTAAATAATGAACATTATTGAAGGGAAAATATTTGAGGTCATTTATAGACATAATTAAATTCCTTCCCCACTCTCCAGGAGAAATCGGGCCATTAGCTGTCCTCTCTGGAGGACCCAGACTGTATGCTCAAAGAGAGACAATGAGGGACTTCCCTTCCACACTGGCCTACAAATGAGGGAAGACTTAAGAGAGTGGCCACTCCAGGGGACCAGCCTTGGGAAGGGAGGACAGCTGTCAGACCTTCCCCGATGCTGCCTGGCCCTGAGCCCACTCAGACTCCTTAAACCTCATAAGAGAGCCCAGGTCCCATGTGGAAGGGAAATGTCTGGCCCAATTGTGCCATCGAAAGTTAAAGGAAATAAAGAAGTAGCCTTTCATGAGGCTATAAGACAGAGAGAGGGGGTGGAGAAAATGAAGGGCGTTTGCTTCTGAAAGATGCTTGTTAATCATAAGCCTAACCTGGAGTTGAACAGTAGTCAGTGATAGTTGGTGATAGTGATGGATAGCAATGATCACTGATGCTGGCAGTTATGGTGGGCAATGGACAGTGAAGAAGAGCAATGTGTAATGATACTGAATGGGTGATGATGATGATGGTGAATGACGGTCAATGATAGTGGGTGATATAGGTAATCATGGCCAGCAATGACCACAATGATGACAGCAATGATAAGAAATTGTTAGTTGGTCATGGTAGGTAATGATCAATAATAGTGGGTGATGTTCAGTGGTGGTAAACAGTGGTTATAAGTGTGAGGATAGTGGGTAATAGTGATTTTACTTTTCTTTTTACCTTTATCTCTTAGCAAAGTCCTTGGCACATAGTAAGTGCTTAATATATGTTTGTTGATAGCCAACTAGAATTTATTCAGTGCTTTAAGATTTGCAAAGTGCTTCACACATCTCATCTCATTTGATTTTTGCAACAACTCTCAGAGGTAGATGCTATTATTATCCCAATTTTGCTGATAAGGAAACTGAAACAGATAGGGGTGAGTGACTTGCCCAGGGCCACACAACTAATAAGTTCCTGAGGCCAGATTTTAATTCAAGCCTTCTTGACTCCAGGTCCTGTGCTTTATCCAATGTGCCAGCAAGCTTGTGACTGTTGACTGACAGACTGATGGTAACAGTAGGTGATGGTTAGTGATGGTTGGTGATGAATAATAGGCAGTGACAGTCCCTCTCTCCTACAGTCTCAATGGTTTTTGGTTTCACATGGTCTGCTCTCAGATGCTGGAGCAACTTTCTGTGTATGAGAAACAGGGCAGATAAGTCTTGATGGACACAAGAGTGAATCTTAGAAAAAGAATTCTTCAGTCATGGCAGGAATTGTGTGTATTCTTGGAGCTTTAGAATCTTGAGAGCAGTGATCCACACATAATAAGTGCTTGTTAAATTGAATTGTTGAATTCACACTCAGACAGCTTGGATTATCATAAAATTGGAAGAGACCTCAGAGTTCATCTAAGTCAGGGGTTCTCAAAGTATGGCCCATGGACCCCCAAGAGGCCCTGAAACCCTTTTGGGGGATCTAGGAAGTCAACATTTTCCCCCATAATAGCACTAAGATATTATTTACTTATTAAAATACTCCTCCCTTTTCCAACTACAAACATACATGAGAAACTGGAGTTTTTCATATACTTCAACCAAAACAACATATCATAACAGTTTGAATGCAAAATTAGACTCCAGCTGCCTTCTATTAAGCCAGACACTAAAGAAATCTGCAAAAATATGCAAAACAATTTTTCACTATTATTTGTTTTAGAAAAAAATTTCATAAAAATATTTTGTTCACGTTAACATGTAATGGCTTATTATTATTTTAAATGAATTAATAATTATTTTGAAAATTAATCCATTTTAATTTCTAATAAAACATCAATAGTTATAACCCATATAAACAAAAGTTCTTTGACATCCTAAATAATTTTAAGAGTATGAAGGGGTCCTGAGTCCAACAAATTTGAGAACTGATGATCTAGGCTAACCTCTCACCAAATTCAGGAATTCCTTCTATTACAGGGTGTCTTAACATTTTTTTGTTAGACTCTTTGGTGTATAGGATAACATTTCTAGATTTTAAAAAATGCATAGAATTACAAAGGAAATCAATTCAGCTGAAATTCATTCATCAAAATATGAAAAGAAAAGGTCTGAGTTCATGGACCTCTGGTTAAGACCTCCTGGAAGTATGTGCCTGACATTTGTTATTCCACCTTTGTTTGGATACATACAATGACAGGTTGCTCACTGCCTATTATGGTAACCCATTCTACATTTGGACAGCTCTGTTCAGGTCAACAAATCAATGAGCATTTATTAAGCACCTGCTATGTGTTGGCCACTATTCTAAGCACTATTGATACAAAGAAAGACAAAACAAACAAACAAACCAAAAACCAAAACCCAAGTCCCTCCTCTTGAGGAGCTCACAGTCTAACAGGGAAGACAACGTGGAAGCAACTAGCTGTATGTGTATGTGTATGTATATATGTATATATACATACATACATATATACATATATATATACATATATATACATATATATATATATATATATATAGAGAGAGAGAGAGAGAGAGAGAGAGAGAGATAAAATGTAGATAATCTCAGAGAAAAGACACTAACATTAAGGGAGATAGAGAAAAGCTTCTTGTAGCAGGTAGCATTTTAGCTGAATCCTGAAGGAAGTCAAGGAAACCAGGAGATGTAGGTGAAGGAGGAGAACATTCCAGGGTTAGGGGACAGCCAGTGAAAATGCTGAGCCAGAAGTCCAGGGTCACTAGATCTTAGAGTATATGAGAAGAGGGGTAGAGGGAAGGAGGGTTTAAGAAGACTGGAAAGGTAGAAAGGGGCTAGGTGTTAAGGGGCCTTAAAAATTCCAAAAGAGGATTTTATATTTGATCCAGGAAGTCATAGGGAGCCACTGAAGTATATTTAGTCAGAGAGTGACCTGCACCTTAGGGTGATCAGTTTGATAGCTGAGAAGGTGGACTGGAGTGGAAACACTCCGGGCAGAGAGACCAATCATCAGATGGGTGGATTTTTGGTTAAGTTTTTTAATGTTGAGCTGAAATTGTCCTCCCTGTATCTTTTACCCCTTGGCTAAAGTGGATTAATATAAGGGCAAAATGAACCCCAAATGTCTACTGTATATGCCAAGTTGCACTGTAATTAAGAACTCCTTGTTACTGGGAGGGGATAAGGGAAGGCTTCTGACTTAATTACTCATACAGAACGCTCCAGCTTTTCTTCATTCACCTCAATCCATTGATCCTCTAGGATTTCTGTCCTCTAGGGCCACACACAAAAAGGCCTTGAACCCTGGACCTCAGCTTTAAGATCTAATCTATCCAGCCCCTTCCAGGCAGGCCATGACCACTTCAGAACTTTGGAAATATTGCCATAGGTTATGTTGGCCCGTGACTCCAGAATTCAGACTCTCTTCCCCTACCTCAGCCCCACCCCTGCCCAGTTACCAAAGGAGGAGTGGCCAGTGTCCTGATGTGGCTTTCAGCATAAGTGACATTATGACATTTTCTTGGGATTACGGCCTTTGTCTTGATCTTCCCCTTTCCTGGCTAGTGCCTCTCAGTGTCTGGTTTCATTTGCCCTTTCTTTCTCTATGCTTTTGTCTGAAGTTGTATGTAGGAAACTAAAGGGGGCCCCAAGTCTCTGAATGCCCCCAACTAGGGACAGGGAGTAGACTGAGGACAGAGCTGGAAGATGTCCCCTAGTCTAAGACTTCTGCATTATTTTTATTCTCTACCTTCAGATCCAAACCTTGGGGCATGAGGCCTGGAAATTAGAGGCTTATGGAAGGCACTTTAATGAAATAATCATCCCCATTAAGCAGCACTTTAAGTTTTACAAATTTCATTCTTCCCCAAAAACCTAAGGAGTAGGTAATGCTCATGTTATTTATTATTCTCATTTTCTTGGTAAGGGAAGTGACCCAGAAAGCTTAAATTACTTTCCCAGGATCACAGAAACAACAAATATTGGAGCCCAAGTCTCTTATCTCTAAGTCAGACAAGGTCATAGATGATACATCCTTCCCAGAGCATATATGTTTGTCTTCAGGAAAACAAGCCTTGTCCCATGATCAACTGTCCTGAGAGAGTGCCCCTCAAATTTCCCTTTCATTTCCCTCATTTTTAGTTCTAAGAGCAATCTGTAATCACAAATAACTGTACTTGTGAAGTTTCTCATTGCTAAATGAGAAGCAACTCTCTAGAACTTATCTACTAAGTCATAGATGGGTTTGGTGGAGGATTTGTATCTATAAAGCTTCTGATTGACAGATGGAGGAGAGAATTGTACTTATTAAGCCTCTCATTGCTACATGAGAGTTAACTTCCTAGAATTTATCCACTAAGTCTGGGACCTGTGGGTAGATTTCAGGGAGTTTATGAACTTGTATGGAAAAAAATCCCACATCTTTATTTTCATTAACTTTTGGTTTATTTTGTAATCTTATGTATTTTATTTTATGCATTTAAAAACATTATTCAAAGAAGGAGGTTATAGGTTTTACTAGATAACCACAAAAGTCCATAGCATAAAAAAAGCTTAAGACTCCCTGTACTAAGTTATAGATTGGTGAGGTAAAGGCATTTGTACCTACAAAGCCTCTCACTGCTAAAAGAGAGAGGGAGTTATGCTTGTAAAGCCTCTCATTGCTACTGTCAAAATATTTTGGAGATGTCCTGTTTCCCAGAGCTAAGGCCCAGCAAGCAGGCTGTGTTCTGAGCTTGGCATAACAATAATCTTGTGCTCAGGATGATATCACCCTCTGGCAAAGTGTATTGCTTGGACCAGCACCAGGTATTCACTAAGGGATTTAGCTGCCTTTATTTCCCAGAACCATTCATTGAATATTCACAATCCCTGTTCCTTGTCACTGGCAGGTACAGCACTCATGTTCCCATCACAGAACTCTGGTTCTGTGCCCTGAAGGGTGGGCATGACCCACAGGGCCTATAGGAACAGTAACTCAAGACCTAAAAATGATTATGTCATGGTCCAGCCTAGGATGTGTACAAGACCTGCCTTTAGTCCAGCATGTTAAGACCTCCTTCTTAGAAGGGGGGTTTCCATATGCATATGCCATTTTCCTCACTCTGAAATTAATTAAACTTCTGTCTTGTGACTCTTCCATCTCTGGCCTACTCTATTTGCTTGGTTCAGGCCACTCATAGATTAGAGGCCGGTTCTGGTCCAGTTGACATTATATAGGAGGCAAATCTGTAAGTCTTATTTATTAGCCCCAATCTCTTAATTAATTGAATTAGATTAAAAATATTTATTATGAGTGGCTAAGGCATATGCCCCTATTCTCATAAAACTCATAGTCAGTTTTGAGGGATAAGAGGAAAAAAGCAGAAAATGATGATAACCAATATTACACTATTAGTTTATTAAAAATTTGTAAAAGTACCATTGTAGCACAAGTGTTTGGACATAGACTGGTACGGAGGACAGACAGTGAAAGCATTCAGAGCCATGAGATGGAATGTCTTGTTCAAGGAACAGCAAGACTGGTGTCATTGGATTACAGACTACATGGAGGGAAGTAAGGTGTAAGAAGACTGGTAAGGTAGGAAGGAATTAGGTTATGAAGGACATTGAAAGTCTAACAGAAGATTTCATATTTGATCCTGGAGGTAATAAGGAGTAATAAACAAAACCCAAATTTGTTGAATGAAAGGGGAGTGATATAGTCAGACTTTGCACTTTAGAAAGATAATTTGACAGCTAAGTGTAAAATACATTAGAGAGGGGAAAAAACCTGAGGCAGGAAGACTGACCAGTAGGCTACTGAAATAGTACAGGTAGGCAGTGATGAGAGCCTGCACCAGTGTGGTTGTTATGTCAGAGGAGAAAAGAAGAGGTATTATATTATATATCTCTATCTATATGTGTGTGTACATATATAACATATTATATTGTATTATACTATGATATATTACAAATAATGTATATGCAATAGTATACATATATGTGTGCATATATTACATTATATATTACATAATATAACATGTCATATTATATTACATTATATATGTGTATGTATGTATGTGTAACAAGGGTAGAAGTGGCAGAATTTGACCACTGATTGGATGGAGGGGGGTGATAAGACAGAGTGAAGAGTAGAGTACCAAGGTTGGAAGTTTGGGTGATGGGGAGAATAATGGTACCCTCAGCAGTAATAGGGAAGTTAGGAAGAGTGGAAAGTTTTTTTGGGGGGTGGAGAATAATGAGTTAAATTTTAGACATATTGTATTTAAGATATCTACAGGAAATCCAATTAAAAATGTCTAAAAGGCAGTTGGAGATGCAAGACTGCATGACAGCAGAGAGGTTAAGTTTACACAGGTAGATCTGAGAGTCATCTGCATAGAGAGGATGCTTGAAATGGCAGCTGATGAGATCACCAAGTGAAACAGTGTGGAGGAAGAGAAAAGGGCACAGGAAAGAGATTTGGGGGAGCAAGTCTAATTCTTAGTCCTAGATCTTGCCCATTAAGGGCACACTGCCTTTCCAAGGTTGAGAATTGGCAGCCCATTACCTATTATTTTCTGTGCTCAGTCTTGAAAGCAGAGACTAGGGACCCCTTTGATTGATGAGTGACATCACATAAGTCATCCTGTCCAGTCCTCTGCTTGTAAGACAGGATGATCCCTTCCCCCACTCAGGTCAGCTAACCAGTCAGCCAAAGACTTCTGCTGCTTGGAAAATCCTTAGTTATCTCTGTTCACCAGATCTTATGCCCTTGATAGAAAATAGTTCTTATGGTCGGATTTGTCTCTCTTTCATTGCAGCAACAGTTTTCTTGCCATGCCATCCTTATTAAACTAGTAACACCAGCTCACATTTCTACAACACTAAGCTCTTCACATACATTACCTCATTTGATACTGTTAATAACTTCGTGAGTCAACCAGTGAAAGTATAACTACCCCCATTTTACAGATGAGGAAGCTGAGGATCATAGAGGGAGAGTGACTTGTCTCAGATGAGCAGTTAACAAGTGGCAGAGCTGAGACCTCAACTCATTCTTCTAGCATTCTTTCTACTGTAATGGAGATGTGTGGGGAAGAACCTTTTTGGGGGAGAGTTGGGGGGAATGGGACACCCTGGGAAGATTAGCTGTGGCTCTTAGAGGAAGATCAGAGATCCCAGGTCTCTAAAATCCTCCTGGCTTCTTCCTAGGAATTCTGAAAACGCTTGTCATTTATGGCATATAACAACCAGGCCATAGTGGGAAGAAGAGGGTCTTAAAGTACCTACTAAACAGGAAGGCTGTAGGGGAGATCTAAATATGTGTCTGGCCACAGCCACCCCCAATCCAGAGCCCTGTCAGAGCCAGGCAAGAAAGCTGTCTTAGGGCCCTTTTGGGTGGTGGTGGAGACGAAGAGAAGGAAAGGGATTGGGTCTGTCCTTAAATTTTCGATCTCAAGGGAGAGCGTTTCTAACTCTCACCTGTCCCAGATTTGTGCCCACCCTCTCCCCACCCCGCTCCCAGACTGGGTCCGCCTTTCCACGAGCCTCTCGCCCCTGACTGTCGCCTCTCTCCACAGCCTGCCCCCCTGGATTTTACAAGGTGTCCCCGCGGAGGCCACTGTGCTCCCCGTGCCCCGAGCATAGCAGCGCTCTGGCCAACGCGTCCACGCTCTGCGTCTGCCAGGACAGCTATTCCCGCTCCCCAGCGGACCCACCCTCAGCCTCCTGCACCCGTGAGTCACCCGGGGCGGGGGTGGGCCTAGTGATGCCCTCAGACCTGTCAGGCAGTGCTGAACTCCGGTCCTTAACTTCCGAGACACATCTTCGAGCCCTCGCAGAACCCCACTCCTCCCGCCCCCCGCTACTCAATCGCAGCCCCATCCCATCGTCCACCTAATCTGATGCACTGCGCCTCTTCCCAGGTCCAGTACCATTTCCCGTGGCTCCTCAGTTCCAGTTTTCAAACTCCATAGTCTTTCTAATGTATAAGTAGGCAAAATATGAGGTGGCGAATTCACGACTTTAAGCCACATTCTCTGTGAATGTTAGCGGAAAAAACAAGATTCCCCCCCCCTCATAGCCCAATAGCCCAATAGCACTCCTTTTCTATCAGCGTGACCTCGGTCAAGTCACTTCCCTTGCAGTTCTCAGTTTCTCTCATCTGTAAAATGAGTTGGGTCCTTGGAGCCTCTTCCAAATCTAAATCTCTGGTCCTTGGACTACCTTACCAGAAAAGACTATGTGGCCTTCCCACTGTCAGTTCGTGACCTTATGGACTCTCCTCCGTCAGTGGCCTATTCCAGATTCTATAGACTTATTCCCTGCCTCAAACCCTGACCCTCGAAGTCCCTCCCCTCCCTGCTCCATCCCAGGACCACATTCTGCGCTGCCCAGGCCAGATGCGCCAACCAGACGCGGTCTTACTGCCCCCGCTCCCCACCCCAGGTCCTCCGTCTGCCCCGAGGGATCTGGTCTACAGGCTGAGCCGCTCCACCCTGTTGCTGCGCTGGAGTCCCCCGGAGGACTCTGGCGGCCGTTCTGACATCACTTACACCGTCCTATGCCAGCGCTGCGGCGAGGATGGCCCGGGCGTGGGGCAGGGGCAGGGGTTTGGCCTGGGCCCCGGGGGCACCTGTGAGTCCTGCGGGCCCAGCGTGAGTTTCGTGCCGCGCCAGACCGGACTGCGAGAGAGGACAGTCACCTTGCTCAACCTGCTCCCGCACTCCCACTACACCATCCGGGTGGCAGCGCTCAACGGCGTCTCCGGCCTGGGCGCTGTGGGGACCACTTACGCCCAGGTCATCGTGTCCACGGGTCTGGCGGGTAAGGCCCCAGGCTTACCCCATCTGTTCTTCCAGGCCCATCCGAATCCCCAGGCTGAAGGCCCTAGGGTGGATTAGATTCCCCTTACCCTCTACTCCCCCTTTGAGGCAGGGAGGGAGGATGGAAGCTAGCCCTCTACCTTGGAGAGGTAACCTCTAAGCAGGGATGCCTCTGCTCCAAGCGGTAGGGGAAGGGAAATTCCTGTCTCCTCTGCTCAGCTGCCTCCCCACTCTCTGGTTCCCCAAGACCACAATTTCGTTGTTGTTGTTGTCCCTCCCCCCCCTCCCCCCCCAGGTGTTGCTCAAATACATCTATATATAGAAAGTTGCACATAACAGTCAAAAAGACAAAAGCAAAACAGTTCCTGCCCTTAAGAAGTTTATATCAGTGGATGTACACATATTGGCATAGACAAAATATCTACAAGATGGCTACATGGTGATTTTCTGGGAAGGACACTGGCAGGGCAGGGAAGTGGCTTAGGAAAAGTTTCATGCACAAGATGGAACATGAGCTCAGTCTTGCAAGAAACTGGGAATTATAAGAGTGAAAGTGAGGTGAAAGTACACTCAAGGCACAAGGCCCAACCAGTGTAAAATCATGGAGGTGAGAAACGGAGTGGCTTTTAGGAGGAACAGGGAACAGTAAGAAGGCCCATTCACCTGAACCATAGATTGTTTGAAGTGGGGTAAGGTGGAAAAAGGCTGGAAAGATATGTTATGGCCAGATTATGAAAGGCTTTACATGCTAAAACAAAGGAGTTTATTTTTGCTCCTAGAGGTAACAGGGAGCCACTGAAGTTTATTGAGTAGGGGAGTGACATGTTCAGACCTGTGCTTCAAAAAATAAGACACCCCTCCACACACACATTCAATCAGAATGTACTCTGATACTTGGTGACTGCCACACAAAGGAGGAACAGATATGGAGTAGTGATAAATAGATCAGAAAGCATAGGTCAGAAAAAAGCCAGGAGAGAGGCCAGAAACTGCATAGAAACTCATACCTTTACCTCTAGAAAGCTTTAAAAAAGGCAGAGAACACCACCCCTCCCCCCAAAAAAATCACAAAATGAGACTGGTTATCTCTTAACAGAAAAGACTGTTCATTGATGTGTCATTGTGGAATCAGATGTCTTGTGTTCAGTCAGACCATCAACTTATAATAAAGATCAGAATTAGTAAAAAGAAAAAAAAACCTAGAAGAAGAAGAATGAGAAAAAGACAACATTCAATAGAGACAATTCAATCCTGACCTATTTAAACAAGTAGCTAGTCATTTACCCTCTGTCAGTCTCAGTTTACTCATCTGTAAAATGGGGATAATAATAGTACCCATCTCATACTGTTGTTGTGAGGGTCAAATGAGATGATGTATGTTAAATGCTTCATACTGTTATTATGAAAAATGGACAACAGACAGCAAAAATTCATCAATGCTGATTATAATAATTACATATACCTTAACTTAAGTAAGTTAGTTGCCATAACAAGGAAACCAAAGGAGCCTAATGCCCACCTGTCAGCAAACATTTGACTAAACTGCAAGGCAACTGGTTTAGAACATCAACTCATTTGTGAAATGGTAAAAATAATGGATGGTTCTGAATAGTATTGCCTCATAAAAAGAGAAAAGCAGTGGAGTATAGAACCAGTTTAAAGAAAGCTTAGCAAGAGAGGCAGCTAAGCAAAATCATTCCAAGGGAAACATCACCCTCATGATGTCGTTGGTCTTCTTTGAGAATGAAGGACCACCCCCCCCCCACAACAATAACAATAAAAATGGCATTTAACAAGTAAAAAGAGGTTAACAAACAGAAGAAAAATGGATGAGCTATAAAGATTTTTTTAATATCAAACTATTTTTGCTATAAAGGGTGGTAGAAGACAGAATTCTTAACATCACATTCAGGATGTTCTTATAGGGAAGGCAGAAATAGAACTATAAAAAGATGGCAAAGAAGCTAGGTTGGAGCAAGTGGTAATAGAGCAGGTATGTGCTGGAGGTGACAACTGTGAGAGCACTGAGGTACCCGTTCATAATGTAGCTAAAGAAGGGCCAGTGCCAAAGAGGTGTGTGTGGGCGGGTAAATTTCAGACCTTATTAATACCAAAAATGGTTGAAAGATGTAGAGAATGAGATCACACTGTACTTACTCTTCATTGATTATGAAAAAGCATTTGATTTGGTAGAGCAAAACCTCACCTTAAGAGAGCTCTTCTAACAAGATATCTTTCATCAAACATTCAAGACTCCATAGAAAATATAATAAGAGAAATAACCTTTTCCAAAGACCCACTGGTCATAAACATCAGATGACACATGAAATGGGGAGCTCGATGTTTGCTGAAGGTATTTGCCACCATGATTGAAAAGATCTAGCCAAAAAAAAGAATTTCATGTGAATGTTGAGGTCCTCCAGATGTTCCTGTTTGTAGATGACATTGTGTTAGTGATGTCAAGTCCCAGCGCCTGAAAGCTATCCTCAAACACCCAGAAGAGATTATATTGATCATCCATACAGGAAAGACCAAGTGGATGAAGAACCTATTGTCTAAGTTATGAATGCAATTAGATGGATACTCTATAGAATTTGCCAAACAGTATGTTTATCTTGTATAGATAATACAAATGGTTAATTAGAATTAAATAGGAGGAGAGCAAGCTGGATTACTTTTAGAAAAGTACAAAGTTCTTTTAATGACTCCAGGCTTCTCCTGGAAATTAAGTCACATCTCTTTAATACCAAAATTCTACTGGTATTTATTGAATATCTGTGAGACATGCATCAAAATACTTTTGGGAAAACTGACAACGAATATTACACAGCAGGCAATAAAGAGGCACTTCGTGTGTAATAAATAGGCTCTAGTATAGACAATGAGGAACTTTGAAGAACAGGAGTAATAGATCTTATCAGGGAAATGTATGATTAGAAAAGATGGCCTAGTCATTTGATGATAGCAAGGAATAACAGCTGCACAGCCAGAGTGCTTCATTGATTTCTTATTATGTTGAGAGAAATTAAGGAAGGCCTCCAGTATGTTGGTGAATTTTGGGGAACAAAATTTTGAGGGTACAAAATACCCCATAAAATCCTACTCTGATGCCTCAATATGATATGGGGGTGACCTTGTGTTCTTCAAGGCTATTCCAACAAATACTGGAAGGGCTTCAATTATATCCCTAGAAACAGAATGACTCTATTTTTTGAGGACCAGCCTATCTACCCATGAAGAGGAACCTGATGATGAAACTTGTTTGACCATGGCAACCCATGAGACAGAAAAATCAAAAATGGCCCTTGGTCCCGTTGTACCACCATCCCCTTCACCTTCTGCAATAATGATGGCAGAGTTGTGGGAAAGAGTTCTAAGACTAATACATGTTTGAGACTGCCGGCAATCTTTAATTTGACTGTCGATACTCTAAATGAGAGATCCGATGACCAAGGAATAGACATAGTGTGATAGGAGTTGGAGCCTAACAATTTTGGCATTCCTACTATGAACAAACTTAGACCAAAGACAGTAAATGAAAGAATGGCTCACAAATGCCCCTTTGCGAGGCAGAGAAAAGTATTGGTGGCATGGTTTTATCATATGCCCCAAAGTAATAAGAAATATTTCAAGGGACATATGGTCATTGCATATTTCAGCATGAATAGTAACTATTTGGAAAAAATACCATGAAAATAACTGTAGCTTTTGTGTCATCAGTTGTTGAGGATGAAGTGATAGAGAAATTCTATGATACTTAACAATGTGAGTGCAAAGGTGAGAACAGATGAGAATGGAAAGAATTATATGGGAAAGCATGATTCAGCAGAAAGAAATGAGAAAGGCCCAATACATGTAGATTATACAGAAGCCTCATGACTTTATGTCATGAATATTTTTCTTTTTTTTTCTTTTTTTGCTGAGGCAATTGGGGTTAAGTGACTTGCCCAGGGTCACACAGCTAGTGTTAATCTGTCTGAGGCCGGATTAGAACTCAGGTCCTTCTGACTCCAAGGCCAGAGCTATATCCGCTGCACCACCTAGCTGCCCCCATGAATATTTTTAATAAAATAATTTGTAGGCATAAGGCATGATGAATGCCAAAAAAAGTAAATTGAATGCATTTTAACAGATAGTATAAGACTTATGGATGTGGGAGTTGTCCCTGAGCCAATTCTCTGTGCATTGTCAGACCATCAACTACTTAGAGATAAGATTAGAATTTACAGGAAACAAGAAGAAAGAATAGTAATGAGAAGAGGATATGGCATATAACTAAGACGATTTAATACCAAATTATTTAAACAAGTTGTGGAAACTGAAGAGTGGGAAATGGACAACAGACATGACATCAACCCCAACTATAATACTACCAAAGTTAATGTAAATTAATCAATTAAATTTGCCAATGTAAATTAATTGCTACAACAAGGAGACCAAAAGAGTATGGAAAGCACCCCAAAAACATTTGACTTACTTGCCTGTTGGAGAATAAAAGTTGCCAAGGATAATACTAGGTCAAAATATAAGCTCATCTTTAAAATCTTACAAGGGAGGATGATAGACAGTTATAAGAAGTATCATCTTTTAAAGCAAAGGGAAGCAGTGGAATGTAAACCCAATCTAAAGCAAGCTTGATGAGTAACCAACAAAGCAAAGACTTATCAAAGGCATTCAAAGATGAAAAAGAAAGTTGACTGCAAACAAAAAAAATAGAAAAATTATTACTACCAACTTTTCTTCATCCAGGATAGTGGAGCCATTCATTTGGACCCTAACATCATAGTCACTGAAGTGCTTACAGAGGATGAAGAATGACACTAAAGAGAACAAAGATCAGAAAAGCAGCTGGACTGGATTAAGTATATATAGCTAAGATCCATATAGGGAACCAATTTACAAGGTGTCTAAATGAGGGAAAGATACCAAAGGCAGGGAAAAACTCACAGATCTTAGTGATCCCAAAAAAAGATTACTGAGAAAATATGAACAACTGCCCATCTATAATGCCTATGCTCCCTTCTATAAAAAAAACCTTTATGAGGGTCGTCTATGTACAAATTGAGAGCATCCTTGATGAGGGTATTAGTAGAGAACAAGCTACCTTTTGCAAATAATATTCAACAATGGACTATATTGTTATCATCTCACAGCTAAACAAAAGATGTAGAAAATATGAGATCCCATTATGCTTATTGTTTGTTGACTACAAAAAAGAATTCGACTCAGTTGAACAAAACATTTCCTTATAGGCTCTTTTACAACAAAGTAGTGCAGTGGATAGAGTGCCAGGCCTGTAATCAAGAAGATCTGAGTTGGAATCTGGCTTTAGACAGTAGCTGTATGACCCTGGCCAAGTCACTTAACCCTGTTTGCCTCAGTTTCCTCATCTTTAAAATGAGCCAGAAAAAGAAATGGTAAACCACTGCAGTATCTTTGCTAAGAAAACCCCAAATGGGGTCACAGAGAGTCAGACATGACTGAAATGACTGAAAAACAAAAAGTCTCCCATCCACATTATCAAGATCATTTAATATTCCAAAGAAGCTATAATAACCAATATAACCCTGTTCAAAGATCTCTGAAGGTAAATACCAAACGAGACATGTGTGAGTGTCTCACAGGGTCAGCACTGACATGCTATGGTCTACATGGTCAGAAGAAACTCTTGAATCGATAAGATCATGGATCCAGTTGAGAATTTTAAATATGGGCAAGAGTCACACAGTACAGTTCAGGAATGGCTGGGCTTTGATTTACATCATTCCAAATCAACAAAATCACAGATTTATTTGAATCATTGAGAAAACATAGATAATACAATAATGCTCACCAAAGGTATTTGCCACTGTGATAAAGAATATACAGCAGAAAGTCCAGGTAGAAGAGGGATTCCCTGTGCATGATGAAATGCTCCAGATGCTGCTGTTTGCTTATGACATTATACTGATTACATCAAACCCCAAGACATTGTAGGACTTCCTAAAAGAGATAAGTAATCATTCAAAGGAACTTGGCCTGACCATCCATACAGAAAAGACCAAATGGATGAAGAATGTGATTATTCAGATTTCAACATGTATCTTAATGGACATTCTGTAGAGCTTGTCCAATACTATATCTCTATCTCTATATCTCTCTATATATCTATCAGCTGGCTATCCAGCTAGCTATGTCTGGGACAGATAGTAGAGATGGGCAATAAACTGGGCCTAGAATTGGAAAAATAGAGGATGGAAGGGTGGATTGTTTTGGAGAAGTCATAAAACACTGTTCTGACCCCAAGCTTCCCATAATAGCAAAGGCACTTCTTTTCAATATAAATATTATACTAGTGTTGCTATACAGCAGTAAGACCTGGAACACCACTGCTTCTGTAGAACTAAAGGTGAGCATCCCGCAGAAGGCAAGGCAAAGATGAATGGTTGGTGTGAGCATCTAGCCAGAGAGGAATCCTATAGAATAGCAAGAGTCAAGGATGTCCTTCAAAAAATATGCAACAGAGAGAATATGGGCCAGTCACATGGGATAAGCAAAGGATAACAGATGTTCCATAAGTAACCTCAGACATCAGAAGAAAGTGAGGAAGGCCTTCAATGCATTGGTTGGACTCCTTGTGGTGAACCTTTGAAAGGACATGTATGAATGTCTCATGGGAAAGGCATGGATAGGCTATGGTCTGTGTGATCGGTGTGGTTGGAAGTAACTCCCAAATCGATAAGATCATGGATCTAGTTGAGAATCTTAAATATGGGTAAGAGGGACACAAGATAGTCAAGAATGACTGAGTTTTTATTTGCATCATTGGAGGGAACTTCAGAATTAATGAGGTCACAGATCTATTTGAGTCTTTGAGAATACATCTCCACATAGAAACTGATTTTACTGAGGTCTGCAGATTCCAGACTTGCCATTAACTATATTTAGCCATTTCCATTCTGATTTAATTAAGGGCCCCATCAATTTCTGGTCCTTTTTTCCTCCTAAGCCCCTAGTCTGGGCTAAAGACTGAGCTCAACTACTCACTGAGTGAGGCCAGGGCAGCTTGGGGTTGGTACCATCACTAGGTATATAGGTGGGTGTGATGGGGTTGGAGGGGAAGGATTATTCAGAGACTGACCTACTGCTCAGTCTTTTCAGATGAGTGCCCCTCAACCCTCCTCTCCAGATTTTGCCTGCTGCATCTAACTCTGCCATTCTCCCACAAGCAGCTGCCAACATTTCAGTACCCCCTACACGGCATACGCTCAGCCACTAGCAGTTGTTCATCCACCTTCCCCAGGCACTGTCATACCCCATATCCCTCTTCATCTTCCAGTATCCAGTGGAGTGACTGAGATCCATCCAGACCGAGTGGAACCCAAGAGTGTCTCCCTGTCCTGGGAAGAGCCAGGGTTCCCAGGGACCCTAGGAGCAAACAACACTGAGTATGAAATTCAGTACTTTGAGAAGGTAAGTCCAGGGCCTTCCTGGTTGTCCCTAAGGCACCTTTTTTAGGGTGGGTACAGGGTGAGGGGAGTGCCTCGGTTCTTTCTGTTCATAAGTTTAGGGTTCCTGGGCAGTCTAACGTCCTGTGGCCAGGCTTCCCTAGATGGGAGAAGCAGAGGTTAGAAGCAATTATAGGAAAACTAGAAGATTAGATGCTCCCTGAGAAAAAGACTGTGTTCTTTTTCACCTTTGGATGTCTAGCACTAGTACAGGGCCTCATACATAACAGGTACCTAATAAATATTTGTTGAATTGTGTTGAATTATTTGGAGAGGATTCAAGATCATGTCACAGCTACTGAAGGAAATGGGAATATTTAGCTTCGTGATGAGAAGATTTTCAGGATTGGAAGAGTAGGAGAACTGGTTTCAAATATATTCAGGGCTTGGTGGAAAGGCAGGAGACCACTAGGGCAGAATGTTGTATACATTGTCATTGTATCAGGTATTTTTTCTGAATTACTTTTGTTGTTGTTATGGAATAGGGTTCAGTTCTGGGAAGCAGAGAGAAGGAATGGGCTGTTTTCAGAAATGACTGTGATATAAAATCAAAAGTCATTTTTTAAAAGTCACATACATATAGTCCATAGGTCTAACATGGAAAGGAGACATTAGATTTCTGTGGGGCCCCAGAGGGAAGAAATAGGAAAAATGAAGGGAAGCTGAAAGAGAGGCAGATTTCAGCTCAATAGAAGGAAAGCCTTTTAAACAACTAGACCTGTTCAAAGTGTAATGGGCTGCCTTGGGAGGTGTCCAGCCATCATCCACCCCTTGAGGTCTTTAAGCAGAGGACTGATGGCCTCTTGTTGGAGACGCTGAAGTGGGGTTCAGATAGATTAGATGGACTCTGATTCGGTGGCATTACAACGATCACCTGAAATTAAGGAGGTAACTGCCTTCCTTCTCCACTTTACTTGACTTGAAAATGCCTAATAGGCTATCAGTGGGCTTCCCTGAGAAATTCTCTCTGGTGGTCAGCTCCCTGCCAAAAGTCTAAACCCTTTATACCATCACCAGGTTTAACTTCAACAACAATGCACAGTCCCATAGGGAAGGGGGGAGGGAAACTGAAGGAGATACTTCTGACTCTAGGACTCCAAAATATTTGTGATTTTGCAGATCCTAACCCTTTCACCCCTTAGGAAGGCATAAAGAGTTATTTTGGCCAAAAAAGATCATTCCTGGTGTCCAACCTTTTGTTCTAAGGCTCTGGATGGGGTTCTCTCTTGCATTTGGGGTCTCTACCCTTTCCACCAGAAGCATATGGATAGAAAAATAGGAGAAAGGCTTGCCTTGGATGCAGAGACTTAGTTGTACCTAAATGTGTATGAGAGTGAGGGAGGGGAGGGACCAAAGAGGGGAAATTGGGTTTTTGTCTTTAATCCTCAATTGGAATAACAATAGTTTTTATTGTTGCTATCATCTCCATGTGTAGACCTGAAGTGGGTACTTTCCCTCATCCTGTGGCCTCCCTGCCACCACTTTTGTTAGCAGGATGTCCTCAGCTCCAAAACCATCTCCTTCCTCCTTTTCTTCAAGAAAAAATTATTTTCATTAATGCCTTTATTTTTTACACACATTTATTTTCAAATATATCTTTCCCCTGACCCTATCAGTGAGTCTTTTCCCCTTGTAATACAGATTTTAAAATAAAGAAAAAAATATAGTTCATCAAAACCCAATCAATGCGTTGGCTACATCTGACAATAGGTTCTAGGTTCTACCCCCATTATCCCCTAACTCTGCAAAGAAGCCTCCATCTCTTTCTAAGGAGATGAAGACCTGTCATCTTATTGGACAGCTGAAGGGATCTCCTGGACATCAGGCTACTCTTCCTCCCTTTCCCCCTTACCCAGGGCCAGAGGGAACAGACCTATGCCACCGTCCGGACAGGAGCACCTGCTGTCACAGTCAATAACCTGAAGCCAGCAACACTCTATGTCTTCCAAATCCGAGCAGCCTCACCTTCCCTCTCCCCAGAAGTTGGAAACTTCACTCCCAGCATAGAAGTAGAAACTTTAGTGGAGAGTAAGTGTTGGGGGACTGGGGAGAAAGGAGGGGGAGAGTCCCCAAGGGAGAAGAGAGATGGAAGACTCTGGGAGGGAGGGGCAGGGGAGGGAGTAGGTCCCTCTGAGGGGCAAGAAACTCCAAGTGCTGAACGTGGTCTGGGGTCCTCCCTCGGATAATGACCGCATCCAGCTCCCTACCCACTGCCCAATCCCTCCTTTTCCATCAAAGCTGGCTCAGGCTCTAGGAAACAGAACCCTGCGGTGGTTGCTGTGATAGTCTCTGTAGCTGCCCTCCTCATCCTTGGCTTCGGGCTCAGTTCTCTGGCTATTTGGAAGAGGTAAGTGGCCTAGAAACCCTCCTAAAAATACATGTTTCCTTCCAGCCTGGTTCCTGGGGCCTGATGTCCCTGGGATGGGAGGGCTAGAGACTCGGGTTCACTCCATCTACCCCACAGCACATACAGACGCACATAAACAAGGACCTCTACCTACCTAGATACAGAGGTTGAGATGCAATGCTTACCATGGTGGAGAGTCCAGAGATCTGGGTTCTAGTTTCTGCTCTTGTTCTAACTCAATGTTGTCCTTGGGCAAATCTCTTCCTCTCTCTTGGCCTGTTTTCTTATCTGTAAAATGAGGGGGTGGGCTTCAGAATCTCTCTCAACTTTCACATTCTCTGGTTCTTTGTATGAGCAGTGCCCAAGATCCCTGCTGGCATTCTGTGTCTTTGCATGTACATTTACATATGTACATGTACTTGTGTACATGTGCTCACCATACCCAGTTAAGCATGTTGTTCGTGCTCACATGGACTTGCATACATAGACACACAGATCCAGGAATGCAAGAACAGATCCATGTGCCATCCATCCCTTCCCCCTTCATCCCCTCCACTCCCTGAGAAGGATGAGATTTGGCTGCTTAAATCGCTAACAGCCTGCAGGCCTCAGCAGGAACAGGGAGGGTAGACCCAGTCTTCCTGGGCTACTGCTCATAGTGATTAGGATTCGCTTCAGAGGGCCACAGGCCCCCAAGGGAAATGAGCTCCCGGTGCCTGGGCAAGCCTTGGAACTAATCCTGAAAATAAATGTGATGGGAGGCTCTCCAGGGCCAGAGACCCACAGTGGAAAGAGCCCTGGGCTAACAGGCAGGATACCTCACTTGGCATTTTGGCCCATCCTCTTGATCTGGTCACTTGTCACAGTGAGAACTTGGGACTCGGATGGTCCCTCCCAGCTTTGCCATTTAAGAGGCTGTGGGTATGGGACAGGGGGAGGACGTGGGAAGCTAGGGATCGAGGAAGATGCTAAGTCCTGTTGCAGTTTAAAGCAGAAAAACAGAATTAGGGATCTCACCAAGAGAATAGGAATTCTGCCTTGAATCCCTGACTCCTGGTTTACAAAGCTGAGTTAGGGAGGGCACAACAGCGAAAGAGGTGGGAGGAAGGTGGAATTAACACAAGAAAGGAGAGAACGGGAGAAGGGTTCCTAATCAAAACTGAGATTATTGGGTGCTATTGCCTGGAGAGGGGGGAGTATAGACAAGGAAAAAAAATGACCCAGCCTCAGGGGCGGAAGCTCCTTGAATGGATTCAGCAGAAGGGACTGTCCAAGAGAACAGTGACTGATTCTTTTTTGGTTTTGCATACCCATCAGCCAGGACTGGCACCCTGTAGGCACTCAAAACCTTGATGAATTGAGAGTAGGAGTTGTACCAACAACCCTTGTCAGCTAGGCTGACAGTCCAAAGCCCTAAGCTTTTGCTGAGCTTCTGTGGTTGTATGTGATGTGGTATCCCTGGTGGACAGCGCCTCAATCCAGGCATGGAGCCTCACTCTTCTCTCTGAAGCTGTTTGGATTAGGGGGCGGCTAGAAAAGCCAGCACTTCAAAGGAACCTGCTGCAGCTTCTCCCACTATGTGCATGTGTGTGTGTGTGCATGCATGCATGTGTGCGTGTGTGCATGCTCGTTGCTGTGCATGTGTGCATACATGCATGTATGTGAGGGGGAGGAAGGCCCAGGGGGAAAACAGCATTCTTCTGGAGGCTGGGGGAGACTGGGACAGCTGGAATGAACGTGCTGATGATGCCTAGGGAAATCTCTGAAGCTGATAATTATGCCAATTTCAAAGCCACTTGGCCAGATTCTGAGCTTCCCCCACCCCACTCTCCCCAGTCCTACCATCAGAGCTGGGGTGGGGGGGAGGGAACAGAGAGGGTTGCTGAGGCTGCCTTAGTCAGACAGACACTGCAGCCTAACGGCTTATAATTGGGAATGTTCCCAAATCAGAGCAAGATTAAACAGCCCCAAATGGGGAGAGTGTCTCACAACCAGGAAGACTCAGGAAATCATTTGAAGTGGAAAAGCAAGAAAAACATGAACACACAGAAGAGAGATAGCTGGAGGTAGAGGGGAGCACATATAGACATCACCTGAAGCATTTTGGAAACTGGATGGGGGGCTGGGTAAAGTGTTTAACAGATTAGGCCCTTGCTCATCAAGGGCTTTCGGATAGAGCAACATAGACAGGGGAAAAGATTTTCCATCTCAACTCGGGAAACATTTATTAAGCAGCTACTAAAGGCAAGGTACTCTATTCCTCATTTCTTAAGCTCTCAACCCCATCTTCACCCTCTCCAACTCAGGAGGTTTTCACTGGAACACCTTCATACGCACCTCAAAACTGCCCTATCTTCTCATCTTTTCCCTCCTGTCTTAGAGAAAGAGGTGTGATGTGTGCTTTTGATCCCATCCCCTCCTGCCTCCTCTGGGACCTTATTCCATCCATCAGTGAGTCAGTCAGGGAATCAGAAGGTCAGAACTGGAAGGGGTCTTTTTGATCAACACTTCATTTTACAGACAAGGAAAGGGAAGTGACTTCTGCAGGGTCACACAGATAGCAAGTAGCTGAACTGGGACTCTAGTTTTCTACTACAGCATGAAGTCTCTCCATCCTTCCATCAACCTCCTCTCCTTGGTGGATTCCTTCCCCTCTGCCCACAAATGGACTTAGTTCTCCCCTTCTGAAATAGCTAAATCATTTTCGCCTCCTTGAGGTGCCATCTCTATCCCTTCACCTCTACACTCCAAGAATACATGTGTCTGCTTCCACTTCCTCTTTGTTTGCTCTGACCTCAAACCCTTGTAATCTGGATTCTCTCCACACCACTCCCCTGAAACGACTTGTAGAAGGTATAGGATCTTAGAGCTGGGAGGGACTTCATAAGGCTTCTAGAGCAACCCTTTTATTTTACAGATGAGAAAACTGAGGCCCAGACAAGCCAAGAGACTTAGTCAATAAACATTTATTAAATGCCTACTAGGTACCAGGCACAAACACAAAGAGGCAAGAGATAGACCCTGTCTTCAAGGAGCTCACAATCTAATGTGGGAAATAACAAACAAGCTACATCCAGGATAAAGAGGAAATTAGAGAGGGAATGCACTAGAATTAAGAAGGGTTAGGAAAGGTTTCCTGTAGAAGATGAGATTCTAGTTGGGACTTGAAGGGTGCCAGGGAAGCCAGTAGGCACAGATGAGGAGGAAGAGCATTCCAGCAATGGGAGAGAGCCATAAAGATGGGACAGCTGGTTGGCATAGTGGCACAGAGCCTTGGCCCTGGAGTCAGGAGGACCTGAATTCAAATCCAGCCTCAGACACTTGACACCTACCAGCTATGTGACCCTAGGCAAGTCACTTAACCCCAACTACCTCTGAAAGAGAGTAAGAAAAAAAGAAAATACCCAGATCCAAGAGATGAAGTGTTATGTTCATGGAAAAGAAATGAAGCCATTGTCACTGAATCTAAGAGTACATGGCAGGAGGTAACATAAAAGAAGATGAAATGTAGGAGGGGGCTTTGAACTCCAAACAGGAATTTGTATTTGCTCCTTGAGACAACAGGAAATCATTGGAGTTTGTTGAGTAAGGTTGAGGGGTAGGGGAGGGTGACATGGTTGGATCTACAAGTTAGGAAAATCACTGTAAGTGAATGAATGGAGGATGGATTAGAGTGCAGAGAGACCTGAGGCAGGCAGACCCACCAGCAGCTATTGCAATAGGGGGATGATGACCTTCACCAGAGAGGTGACAGTGTCAAAGGAGAGAAGGGAACATATTCAAGAGATGTTGCAAAAGCAAAATGGATAGGCCTTGGCAACAGCTTGAATGTGGAGGGGGTGGGGCAGAGAAATAGTAAGGAGTCAAGGATGATGTCCAGGTTGTGAGCCTGAGGGACTGGGAGGATGGGGTTGCCCTCTACAGTAATAGGGAAGGGAGGAGTGAGGGAAGATTTAGGGGAAAGGATAAAGTGTTTGGTTTTGGACATGTTGAGTTTAAGGTGTCTACTAGATATCTAGTTTGAGATGTCTGAAAGGCAGTTGGAGATGTGAGATCGAAGGTCACCAGGGAGGTTAGGCCAGTATAGGTAGCTTTGAAAATCATCAGCATAGAGATGGTAATTAAATCCACAGAAGCTGATTAGATCAACAAGTGAATATAGAGGGAGAAGAGAAGAGAGCTCAGGACAAAACCCCATGGGACACCTATGGTTAGAGGGTGAGATATGGATGAGGATCCAGCAAAGGAGGCTCAGAAGGAGTAGTCAGACGACTAGGAGGATAACCAGGAGAAACGGTGTTCCAAAATCCTAGAGAGAAGAGAGTATCAGGGAGAGGAAAGTGATCAACAGTATCAAGGGCTGTAGAGGGGTCAAGGAGAATGAGGATTGAGAAGAGGCAACTAAGGGAGCATTAGTAACTCTGGAGGGAGCAGTTCTGCTGGAATGATAAAGTCAGAAGCCAGATTGTTAAGGGATAAGAAGACAGTGAGAGGAGAGAAAGTGGAAGCACCTGTTATAGATGGCCTGGGAGGAGTTTAGCTACAATGGGCAGAAGAGATACAGGACTCTAGTTGGTGGGGACTCAGAGTCAGCAGGTAGGAACGGGTCCAATTAGAATATCTGATGCCTCTATAGCCAGGGCCTTTGCAGTGTACAATTACGCCACTTGCCCCATTGCTAAATCCAGGACCTTTTCTCAGTCCTCATCATCCATCCTACAGCATTTGACATCAATCATGCTGATGTTGATTATGTCAGTTCTATGACACCAGTGGTCTGGCTATCTTTCTACCTCTGAAACCCCCTTTCTCTGCCCCCTTATCTGATTCAGTTTTGGTTACCTGTTCTCTCCATGGGATCTTGCCTAAAAGTCTATCCTCAGTCCTCTTTCTTTCTTAGTATCCCTCAGAAATCTTTTTATAGAATCAGCTCTGAAGTTAAACATTCACTGTGTGCCTTTTGAACTCAGGACCTGTGTCTGCTGCACCCTGGGAGAGATATAAAATTTAAATAAGATGGGGTCTCTGCCCTAATGGAGCTTACAGTCTAGAAGGGTAATAAGACAACAATGAAATGATATAGAAGAATGCAGCCAGGTGAGAAATGAAGATATGGCTGACCTGGGCACTGTCCTTAAATGGAGGTTCTTGGAGGAATCCTCCACTTTCCAATCAGAGGGAAGGAGGGGCAGAAAGTACTGGCTCAGGGACAGCTAGGACAGAGCTCCGGCCTTGGAGTCAGTAGGACTCTTGACACTAGCTGTGTGGCCCTGGGCAAGTCACTTAACCGTGATTGTCTCACCAAAAAGAAAAAAGAAAAAGAGGGGAAAAAAAGTACTGGCTCAGGATGTTTAAGGACTCCAGTGATCTTTCAGAGGACACTGACAAGGTATGAGGTGTAGTTCCAGGGCTTCAGGTATAAAATAAGACTCCCAAGTCACCTTTCTTGAGCCAATCTCTCATTTCTGCCGGTGGTATCCCCATTCTCCCTATTCATTCAGGCTTACAACCTCATAATCCACTCATCTGACTCCTTTCTGGCTTCTCCCTCTACACCCAATCGGTCACCAGGTACCATCTAGTAATACCCTATCCATCCTTGCTGTTACTGTCCTGGGCCCAAGAATTCATCTCCTCTTCCTCTTCAATACATTTTGTATCAAATGCTACCAGGTCCTTTCCCTTCCCCCGCCCTCTCCCCACCCCCCCACACACACTGAAGCTAGTGTAAGGAACTTTTGGTGAAAAAAAAAATTCCATCTCCCAAAGAGGAGGAGGAGGAAGAAGAGGAGGGGTAGATAGAGTTCTAAACTTGGAGTCAGGAAGACTTGAATTTGAATCCTTCTTTAGGTACTTACTAGACAGTTACTTAACCTCTCTGATCATCAATTTCCTCATCTGTAAAATGGGAATATTCTCTCCAAGGTTGCTATAAGGGTCAAAAGCACTGTATAAATGTTAGCTGTTATTATTATCATTACCTGTTCTCCAAATTAGTCTTAGATGGTTGTCTGGGGCCATTGACAGGTCAAGTGACTTGCCTAGGCTCACAAAGTTAGCATTTCTCAGAGGTAAGACTTGAATCCAGTTCTTCTTGATCCCCAGGATTCTCTATCCACTATCCCATGGCTGCCTCTGGATCAATCTTTTTAAAATGCCATTTTTCCTATCATCTGTGCTTCCCTCCTCCCCTAGGGGTTCTCCATTGCCTATAGGATAAAAACCCAAACTCCTCAGCCATCCATAGCAGCTAGGTGACACAGGGGATAGATCTCTGGATCTGAAGTGAGGAAAACCTTAGTTCAAATGCAGCCTCAGATATTCATTAGTGGTGTGAACCCAGACAAATCACTTAACTTCTGTCTGACTCAGTTTCCTCAACTGTAAAATAGGAATAATATCAGTACCTACCCCCCAGGGTGGTTGTTAAGATAAAATAAGATATTTGTAAAGCACCTGGCATATAGTAGGTGCCTTAATAAATGTTTGTTTTCTTCCTTTTCACATAAGCTTGCCTCTGCACATGAGATCTGTGCATCTCATTGATGGAGAGATTTCTTCATTGTGGATTGTAATCCATCCACTCCTGTTCCTCCTTGGTGACTCTCTTGGTCCCGGTCTCGTCCATATCCTAATTCACATCTTCCACAGAAGGGCACTGTCCAGCTTGCTGAAGGCCTCCATCTAACGTCTTTACTTTCATTGGCTCCAATGGAGTGTGTGAACTGTTTATAGGTGATCTTTCATGCTCATTATATGAGTGGCCCACATCTCCTAGGAAATTTAGGAAAACTCTTTGCATATAACAAGGCAGAACCAATTGAATTTCCAACAAACTGGAGAAGGAGGAACATTGTGTTCTTTGTCCCTTTCCAGGATGACATTCCATTCTTGTTTTGCTGGTCTGAATTTGCTTTATTCCATATTGGGCAGCTGAGGGGTACATTGCTGGACTTAGAGTTAGGAATACCTGAATCACATCCAGCCTTAGATATCTGGACAAACCACATGTGTTCTTTCAGCCTCAGTTTCCTCATCTGTAAAATGAGGGCTCACTGGCTCTCAGTCTATAAAATGTTGGTCTCAATGGCCCCCAAGATCCTTTTTAACTCTAAATCTCTGATTCTATTGATGCCATTTTTTCCATATTCCCTTGAATGCTTCACATTTTAACAAATTTTATGGCATCATGGCATTGACCAAGTACTCTTTAAGGGTCCCTCTGGCTCTCGAATTCTGTGGATTAGTTCTAGGTTCCCTTCTAGTTTTTTTCATTCTCTGTTCCCAAGTCCGTTCTAACTCTGATGTTCTATGTTCTAAGGTCCCTTCCAACTCTGACATTCCCTGTTATTGAGTCTCTTCTGGTTCTTCCATTCTCTGTTCTTAGGTCCCTTCCAACTCTAATATCCTATGTTCTAAGATTCCTTGTAGCTTTCATGTTCTATGTTCTGAGGTCTCTCTGACCTGAGACATTTTATATGCTAAAGCATTGGCCTCCAAGACCCCTAGAGAGTCTTGACATACTCTTAAGGGGGAGTGACCTGATCAATCAATGAGAAGATGGAGAATTGGTTGTTCCTAGCCCTCCATATAACAGCCAAATTGTGGAGTTTGTCTCTAACACAACTGTATCTGCCCTTAGCCCTCAATTGACCCCTCCTATAATTGTGCAAGCTCCCAACATTCCCACTTCTTTGCCAAATATCATTTGCTCAAGCCAGTTATAACCTGCCCATTACCTGACACCCCCCCACACACAGCAGCAGCTGCACAGAGCTACTAGCTTTCAGATCACTTAATGGCCCCAGCAGGTGCCACTAAGAGGGTGGGTTTTGTTCTCCCAGGCAGTGACCAGTTTTTTAAGAGCTTGAAGCCCCAAATTTTCATTTTCAGTGGATCAAGCGAGTTTCACAGGATGAGCAGTCGTGGGTGGATGACTACTGATCTCAGATCACATTACATTATATTTTCCCCCAAACCTATCCTTCTTCCAGGCTTCCCTCTTTCTGTTGAAGGCACCACAATCTTTCCAGTCATCTCGGTTCTCAACCTTGGTGCCATCATCAATTCTTCACTCTGCTTCACCCATGTAGCCAATGGATTGCCAAATCATGCTGTTTCTGGCTCTGCAACATCTCTTGAAGATATTCCTTTCTCTCTATTTCCATGGCCACCACCCTAGCTCAAATCATCACCTCTCGCATCACAATAGCTTTCTATTCAGGCTCCCTCCTCAAGGCTCGTCTCTCTCTCAGTCATCTTCCAAAAAGCTCCTGAAGTGATTTTCCTAAAGCAAAAATCTGATCACGTCCACTCGCTCCCAATAAACTCTCATGGCTCTCCATTGTTTCCAGGATCAAATATTATTTTATCTTTATCTCATCCTTTAAAAATTTATATGTTTAGGTTTTATAATGTACATAAATATTAGTAAGTAATATTTGTGTATATTATTATGTGTTGAGAAGCAATGTGGTGATTGGCAATTGGAGAGAGGGAATTGGATTCTGGAAGACATGGGTTCACTCATTTTTTATTGATATGATCCAGGGTAAGTCCTTTACCAGCTCCATATGCTTTAGAGACAGCTAGGTGGTACAGTGGTTAGAACACTGGACCTGGAGTCAGGATAGACCTGAGTTCAAATCTAGCTTCAGATACTTAATGCCTGTGTGATTCTGGGTATTTAACTTCAGTTTCCTCATCTGTGAAAGGGAGACAATAATAGCACCTACCTTCAGGGTTGTTGTAAAGATCAAATAAGATAATATTTATAAAGTGCTTTGCAAACCTTGAAGTTCTATATTAATTCTAGGTATCATTATTATTATTATTAGTTTTCCCATCTGTTACATGAGAGAGTTGGATTCATGTAGCTTCAAAGTTCCTTCCGGCTCTAAATCTGTGACCTATAATTTATAAATAAATAAGTATGCAAATAAGGAGTGCACGCTCTGTTGTTGTTTTTGTTTTTAACTGATGGGGGTGAGTATAATAAAAAAAGTTTGGAGATCATTCTTCTAAGGTCCCTTCTGGCCCTGACATTCTAAGTCTCAAAGTAACAGGCAGATATATGTGGACTGCTGGGATGACTGGAAGAGTGTGTGTGTGTGTGTGTGTGTGTGTGTGTGTGTGTGTGTGTGTGTGTGTGTGTGTGTGTGAGGAGTCCCATCTAGGGCTTGGCCAGTGCTTGGGGGTGCTGCCCCTCCTTAGTGCTTCCTACTCTGTTTCTCAGGCACTGTGGATATGGAAAAGGCCTTGGAGATCGCAATGATGAGGAGCTCTACTTCCACTGTGAGTCTGGGACACCCCCTTTGCTCTCCTTCACTGACCAGCACCATCTCCTCTCCCTAGTCACCATCAGAGGGCCAGAAGCTTGTGCGGGGAGGGGATTCCCTCCCGGGCTTGGATGCAGAGATGTCATCCCACTCCTACCCCTATCCTGATGCTACTTCCTGAGCAGCAGCTTCTCTCCTAAAGATATATCTATCTTTTGTCCCCCACACCAGTTAAGGTCCCAACGAGGAAGACGTATATTGACCTAGAAAACTGTGCTGATCCTATGCAGGCTTTGCACCTGTTTGCCAAAGAGCTGGACAGCTCCAGTGTGTCTGTCCATAGCATCATAGGCACAGGTAAGTGTCTCTCCCCCACTTCCCTGGCCCCAGCCTGGGTCAGCACACACACAAACACACATACATGTATGCACGCACACACACATGGTGATACAGCTGACTGGGCCAGGCACCTTGATTTTTCATTTCCATGGAAACACTGGCCAGATCTTCTCCAGGCTAGCTGGGTGACCAAAGCCAGACTCTTTTTCTTCCAGAGCCCTTTCCTGAGAGAAGGTCTGTCTGTCCCAGGCTGCCTCCCTTTTCTGGTCATTCTTGGTGCTTGGTTCCTGTAAGAACAGCAGCTCTAGATTATCTATGTGTGAATTTAGTTCAACAAAAGATTTTTAAAAATAATCATTTTTGTCCTTATATCCCTTTTATTTCTCAATATGCTTCTCCCTAATCTCCCACCCAGAGATACAACCCTTATAATGACAAAAAAAAATGTGGAAAAAGCAATAAACTAGCCAATACATCAACCACGTCTGGGATCACATGCCCTGTTCCGCATTTATAGTCCCCATTTCTGCAAAGAAGAGAGGGAGGTACATTCTTTTTTTATTTCCTCAGGGGCTTAGCTTGGTCATTATAATTATGCATTGTTGAGTTTTATTTTTTTTTCAACAACCATCGTTTGAGGAGTATTTAATAAATTTGTGTTGAATTGAATTATAATAACACCATTTAAAATCCAGATGCTTAAGCATTTACGTAACATGGTTGGTTACAAAGCACTTAACATTCATCATAGCATGTATTTGCTACAACAAACATGCACGTGCTGTGTTCATAACACAGTGCTAAGATCTATGGGAAATATGACATTTAGCTAAGATGTGCTTCCTGCCCTCAGAGCACTTCTTGTTTATTAGGAAGATGACACAAGCACGTATAACTATAACAGTATTTATTACTCAATAAATGCTCTAAATAAATGCACACAAAGAAAAGAGAAAAGGGGATTGCTAGCCCGTGTCCCAACTCATCCTTTCTTTACTGTGTGTGTAGTCAAAGAACACAGACTTTACATAGTCTGATGAGGCATGTGCCATTCCATGTCCTATCTCCACACCTTTGCACCAGCTGTGTCCCATGCCTGGCATGCACTCCCTCTTCACCTCTGACTCTTAGAATCTCTAGTTTACTTTAAAGCTTAGCTCAAGTGCCATCTCCTAAAGGAGGTTTTTTTTCTATCCCCACCCCCTCCACCCCAGTTGCTAGTGCCTCATTCCCCTCCCCGATTACCTTGTATTTATTTTGTAAAGACAACATGACATGGAGGGCCATCTTGGAGTAAGCAAGATCTGAGGTCAAGTCTTACCTCTTTCACATACTGGCTGTGTGACCTGTGGCTGTGTGGCCTTGGGCAAGCAACTTAACCTCTCAGTGTCCCAACTAATTCTCTAAAATTCTAAATTGCAGAACAGACATAGATCTGCATTGATCTGGAGTCAGAAAGCCTTATCTTCTGAAGTTCAAATCCAGCCTCAGGCATTTACTAGCTGGGTGACCCTGTGCAAATCACTAAATCCTGTTTGCCTCAGTTTCCTTATCTGTAAAATGAGCTAGAGAAGGAAATGGCAAACCACTCTAGTATCTTTGCCAAGAAAACCCCAAACGGGGTCATGAGGAGTTAGGCACAACTGAACATGACTGGACAATAACATGTGTGTATATATTGCTATTTACCTCACTGGGCTGGTGTGAAGAAAACACTTCTTTGTAAGTCTTCATTTGTTTTAGAAATGGGAAACCGTTTGACGATCATGTTGATCATCATGGTGACTGTTCCCCGGGGCTCGCCCAGGCGTGGGCTCGGCTGCTCTGCGGTAGGGTTGGGGTGGGGGAGGGGAGGGGTGGCAGAGACGAGTGGCCCCTTCCCCTCCTGCTCCATGGGGCTGGCTGCTGAGCTGTCCTATTCCCCCAGGGCAGTTTGGAGACCTGTGCAGCGGCTGCCTGAGGCTGCCAGGTGGACGGGACCTCCTGGTGGCTGTGCACACCCTGCGGGACGGCGCTTCGGAAAAGCAGAAGCTCCGCTTCCTGGCCGCAGCCTGTGCTCTGGGTCAGTTTGACCACTCCAATATCGTCCGGCTGGAAGGCGTCGTCACTCGGGGCAAGTCACATCTCTCGGACCTGCGGGCTGAGAGAGGTCCAATCTCCATCGTCTGAAAAAGAAATCCTCAGTCCTTTCCTCATCCATTCCAGCTCCCCCTGTCCCCAGGGGCTCCAACTGCTCCCTTCCTTTTTATTACTTAATATTTTATAATTTATCATCACCTCACCCACAGATGGAGCTGTAACTAAGGCAGGACAATGAGTTTTGTCTCATGGTGATGAAACCTTAAGGGATATAGTTCTTTCACTGGGTAGCTGAAACCCAGCCCCTGCTTTCGGTGCAAGCCTTGCCTCCGCACTCAACCCATCCACCAACAAATTGGTTTTAAATCCAGTGTTTTGGGGGCAGGTAGGTGGCACAGTGCATGCAGCCCTGGCCCTGGAGTCAAGAGGACCTGAGTTCAAATCTGGCCTCACGCACATAATACTTCCTAGCTGTGTGACTCTGGGCGAGTCCCTTAACCCCAATTGCCTCACTGAAAAAAATGAAAAAATGTAGTGTTTTGAAATCAAAAGAGCTGGGTTTGAATCCCATACTGCCACTGAGTCTATATGTGACACTGGACAAGTCACTTGTCCCTCTGGGGATTATTTCCTCATCTGTAAAATGAGATGACTAGACTTGTGGATTTCTAATAACCTCTTCCAATTCAAAATCTTAAGAGTTGAAGTGTGGTAGCCACATTTGCTATGCTGAGGCTCCTTCCTTGTCTAAAAGCCTACAATCCTCTAAGCAAGGCAGGTTCTCTCCCACACCCATCCCTCACCCATCCCATCCTAGCAAACCCTGACTCTTTCAGACTTGAAGACACCTACAGAGTTCCTGGGTTCCTTCCCCCCTTTCTTCTCCTACAGGTTCCCCAACTCTACATTCTTTGTTCCTGTCCTTGCTGGGGCAGAGGTGAATCCCAGGGACATTGTCCAAGGGCCCTGATCCCTGCTCAGACTGGGGATTGAACCTGAAGCTTGGGGAGGTGGGAGTGGACAAGGGAGCCCCATGTGAACACACTGTGGTTAAACACGTGCTTCTGCCTTCTTTGCCTGGTTCTAGGGATCACCATGATGATTGTCACAGAGTACATGGGCAATGGGGCCTTGGATGACTTCCTCAGGGTGAGTACTTCACCCTCCCTTCACAGCTTCAGAGGTTGGGGTGGGGGATCAGAATTAGGGATGAAGATTCTGGAGTTCTCAGGTTCTGGCCCAAGACCTGATATGTTAGACTCGTGATGTGCTAGCCTGCCACTTTCTAGCTAGACAAGTCATTTCATTTCTATGACCTTGAGCTTCCTCACCTATAAAATGGGTATAAAATTACTTATATTCCCTATCTTGAAATGTTGTCGTGAGGAAAGTGTTTTATGAATCTAAATATTCGATGAAAATGTTGATGATCATGGCCATGATCAATATTATCATAAGTGTTTGACCCTAGGTTTTTTTTTTCCACTAACCCTATTGGTCTACATACTTCCTTGGCAATCATGAGAAGGTGAAGGCCAGGAAGGCTGTTACCCCCTCCTCGCCCCAGTAACACAGTGAGTTGGGCTGGGAGCCCATGGGGAAGAAAGGGAAGGAAGGAATACAAGAGCTCTACAAAGAAAAAGGATTTCTTCAAGTTTAAGAGTGGGGCCTGGATTTCTCGGGAGAATTTCTGCAGTAGGATTTCTGCATCCCCTCCTTTTCCTGCTTCCCCAGAGATATGATGGGCAGCTGACTGTGAGCCAGCTGCTGGGGCTGCTGCCTGGGGTGGCATCGGGAATGCGATACCTGTCTGAAATGGGCTATGTCCACCGTGGCTTGGCTGCCCGTCATGTACTGGTCAGCAGCAGCCTTGACTGCAAGATCTCAGGCTTTGGGCAGGGCCCACAGGACCAGGCTGAAGCTGTCTACACTACCTTGGTGAGGCATACTCTCTTCCTTTTCCATACCTGGTCAGTCTCTCCCCACCTATACCCAGAGGCATGGCCCTACCCTGGGTGTGTTTCTGGTTGGCTCACCTTGGGGGTCAGCATAAGGGGCCTTCTTCAGGTATGGATTTCCAAGGGGTGGGGGGAGAGGGAGAGGAGAAGGTACCAGCCATGATGAATCTCCCTGGAGAGAAGGACAGAGGTTTGTTTGGGGGTGGAGGACATCTCGGTAAAGGTAAGGGGAGTACAGCAGTAGAGAAACCTTGGATGGCGATGGCAGGGGGAGGGGGAAACAAAGAGTCTATGCCTTCAATTGAGTCTCTATGCCCGGTCCTGCAGAGTGGCCGGAGCCCAGTTCTATGGGCTGCCCCTGAGACGGTCCAGTTGGGCCAGTTCACCTCATCCAGTGATGTGTGGAGCTTTGGAATCCTCATGTGGGAGGTGATGGCATTTGGAGAGCGGCCCTACTGGGACATGTCCAGCCAAGATGTGAGTGGTCCCTGGTCCAGGATTGGGGTGGGGGTGGGGGTGTAAAAACTCAGTAGCTCAGACAGGCTCCCCTGCCCACTGATGTTCTGCCTTGAGACCTTCTGGTCCCTGCTCTGAGACCCTTTGCTTCCCACCTCTGGATCCTGCCCTGGGACTCTCTACCTACCCCATCCCTGCCTCCCCCCCCAAGTACCTACCCCAGGCCAGGGTCTCCTTAGGCTGAGTATACAAGGTTAGGGAGGAATGGGCACTTGAAGTCTTTTCCTTCTCTTTTGTTGTCTTTGGCTCTGTCCTCTGCTCTCAAACATGGCCTGCCATCCACACAATGTTGTGGGTCCAGGTGATCAAGGCCATTGAGGACGGCTTCCGGCTCCCGGCTCCCCGGAGCTGCCCTTCCTCGCTGCATCAGCTCATGCTCCATTGTTGGAGGAAGGACCCCAGGGAGCGACCTAGGTTCACACAGATCCATAGTATCCTGTGCAAGATGGCAGAAGACCCACAGACTCCCCCAAGTGCCACCCTCACCTGCCCCAGATATGTCCCAGACAACCTCACCTGTCCTCGATATATCCCTGACATCCTCACTCTCACCTGTCCCAGGTATGTACCCCAAATTTCCATTACTTGTACCAGGCATGTCCCAACTACTGCCAATCACATTCCTGATACCTTGGCACTGGCTATGCCTTGATGCCCCCAATAATGCCACATACATCCTGATATCTTCATAGGTGCCAGAAACAACCAGTCCATCCCCCTATCTGTCCCAAGCATGCCCCCTGATATGCTCACCAATACCGCGTATAACCCTGGTGTTTTTACCTATGCCAAGCATATCCCTGACTCCCCATTTGTTCCAGGTGGCTCTCGTAGTTTCATCTGCCTATTTCCTCTGGTCCCCTGGCCCACTGCTTCCTTGTGTTATTATACTTTTTCCACCTTCCCTTCCTTCAGTTCTGTGGATGAATGGCTGGAGGCCCTGAACTTGGACCAATACAAGGATCGGTTTGCTGCTGCTGGTTATGACTGCCTGGAGTCTGTGGCCATGATGAATCTTGAGTGAGTCCTGGGAAGCAGGAGAAAGGGTGATGAGATACAGGCTCTGGCCTTGGGGGTATGTGTAGCATTTTAGGGGCTCCCTACTCTAGTGCTGTCTTTGTTCTAAGGACCTTATATTCTGTCCAGAGTTGCAGGGGTGGCTATCTGAGTCCCTCCCTCACATGTACTCCATTCTCTTGGGTGGGCCCTATCCCTGACCCAGGGGTCAGACTTGGCAAGGAGGGAAGAAGACTTAAGGGGCAATGTGGTAGGAGAATCTCCAGGGGAGGAAGGAGCTGAGGATGGGTAGGGAAGGGAGGAGAGTTCAGAAAGAGGAGAGAGAGAGGATGGTAGAATGTCTTCTCCCTCCAGAGCAGGTCCTGACTCTCTTTTGTCCACAGTGACTTGTTCAGTCTGGGAATCTTCCCTCGTGCACATCGAGATATCCTCCTGAGTGGGATTCGAATGCTCCGGGCACGAGTTATTGAACTGCAGGGACAAGGGGTTCAAGTGTGAGCTGGATTCCCCTTTTCTCTCCTGTTGGTGAGGCCCAAGGATGCTGGCTATTCTGCCCTGCCCAATTCCCCACTCAGCCCTGTTCTCTGGCAGGGCTTCAGATGATCTGGATACCATAGATGGCCTGGAGGTTGGTGGCCTCCTTGGGCTTCTGATATCTTTTCTGACCTCAAGCCACCAGATGCTAAGCTTGTAGCCCTGTGGATCCCAGGGTACAGAGCCTGCCTGGAGAAGTAGAGCAGGTATGGTGGCCTGGGGCCAGTGACTCTCCTACCCAGTCCCAGCCTGTTCTGTTCCCTTAGCAGTTTCCTGTCCCTACCTCCAAACTCCCTATCCCCTAATCTCCACAAATCAATCTTAATTCCCAAACCTGTGGGACCCTCAGCCTGTGAAAGAGGATGAGGGGCTCTGGGAAGTACACATGGTGAGCATTCTCAATTCTGCTCTGCTCCCAATTCATCCATTTTTCTTTTCCACACACATGGGATTTTGTTCCCCTTTGGGACTGGACTCTAGGGACTGAGGAAGTAGGTAGCTGGAGCTTTGGAAGGGGACATTTGCTTCTATGGTCCTACCTAGTCCTAGGAGTGTGGGCCAGACAAGGATCCTCCCATGGTCCCCCTCCCCTCCCTACCCCCAGCTCTGCTGAAGCCTAAACAGGAAGCATGAGAGGAGGGCAGGTGGGCACTGGTGAGCAGCCCGAAAGCCTTGGGGTTCAGCTAGCTAACCTGACAGTCAGCCTTAGAGACCCCAATCTCAGGTGCTTATAGAGACACATCTCTGTCTGTCTTCTGTTCATCTGTTCCTCTCTGGGGTCTTGTCAGAACTATCACCTCTTCAGGGCCATGTCATCTACTCCCCATATCATCCATCCCCCTGACTCCCAGACCAATGAGAATCTGTCCTGTTTTAAAGATATCACTGCCTCCTTGGAAGTTCAACAGATCTAGCTTCAATCTTTGTTGCTGCCAGTTCCTTTTCACTGTGGAGTCAGAGAGGAGCCCCCCTTCTGAGTAATTCACCCCAAATCTGCCACACCCCTGCTGCCAACCTGGGGGGAGGAGGGAGACAAATGGGTCTCATTTTTAATTCCTTCATAAACTTGCAGGCGTTTTGTCTTTTTCCCCTGTACCTGGCCCCAGGTAAGAACTTGGAGCTGCTTTCTCTGTTCTCAGCACATAAAAGCCCTATTCTCCAGCCTCCAGGGAGTATGGGGAAGAGAATCATAGAATGTCAGACCTAGAAGAGAGCTGAGGTAACCTAGTTCCAACCTTCCCATTTTATGGATGGAGAAAGTGAGTTTCAGAGAAGGAAAGCAGCTTGCTCAAAGTTGCTGAGTCGTTATGAGAACTGGCACTACAACCAAGCTTGCTTGACTCTTAGGGTGTTTCCCATTTCACCAGGCTGCCTCCTAGAAAACCGTTTAATGTTTTTTTCTTTCTCCCTATGACTTTAACTCCCCTCTGATATAGTGGCCCAGAGGGGTGAAGTCTGGGAAGTCCTCTTAGAATAGGGGGTAGCTGAGCTGGGCTTTGAAGGATGAGTCTATAGAGAGAGCCAGGAGGTAGGGCACCCCTGGATAGGAGTGACATTGGTGGTTTGCAATTCAATGCATGAGTGGGGTAGGCTGGGCAGGAGGGAAGATAGGTGGGCTGGGCAGAAGTCCAGGAAGCCGGGAAGAGGGCAGAGTTAGTCCTGATTGGTCTGTATTGGATCAGGTACAGACCAACAGATTTCCAAGGGTCAGTAGTTTGGAGCCTACAGCAAGGAAGAAGGGTCTACACCAAGAGAAAAAATGTCCCCCACCCGCCCACTCCCAGTCACATTACTTCCCCAAGGCTAAACATCTCTGACTTTTCTGTGGAGGATATCTCTCTGTGCAGATAGGAGCTATTGGGGTCGACTGGACCTAACTTTTTCTCCCCAGGAGTGTGATCCTTAGCTCCAGCTAGTTAGCTGACTTCTGACTTTTGGACTGTAGCCTATGACATCTAAGCATGGGCTAAAAGAACTAGTGATGTTTAACTGTGGGGATGGGGATGATAGCCTGTCTTAGAATATCTAACAGGCTGTCACAGGGAAGAGGCACTGGGCTGGGTCTGCTTAGCCCCAGATGACTAGAAGTGGTACGGGGAAGCTACAGGGAGCCAATTTCCTGACCATCAGAGCTGTCCCAAGGTGGAATGGACTTGGGGTCGGGGTGCTGGAGTCTGATTTGGGGAGAGTTGTTATAAAGACATTCCTATAAAGAAATGGTGGTAGGAAACACCCTCTGTCCCCCTGGAGCTCCCTCCCGAGCTCTGAGACTCTGTGATGATAACCCCAGTTATACATGGTATTACCCCCCCATTCTATACAGATCTATTTTTATATGAAAGTTGTTAATTTCACCACAGTGTAAGCCAATGGGGCGGAGGGGGTGGGGCGTGATGGGGTGGGGAGTTCTTTGTGATTTGATTTCTTTGGTTAATTTTGGAGATGTTTTGTATTTATGGGGTCCTGTCTGCTACATGCAATAATAAAGACATATGGACACCTGGACTGTGAAATAAAGGGGTACTGTGTGGTCAGCTGTGGAAGTGATGATGGGCCAGAAGGATGCACACAGCCTCCGGGCTATTAAAGAGAACCCCGGCAGGGTGGAAGTTTTATTATTGCATTTTTAAAGGGACTGGAAGCATCATCCAAGATCTTTGACTCTTAGGGACAATGACTGGAGAGGTGGGTGGAGATGAGGAGGAATTCTACCTGATTCAATTCACTAAACAGCTGAGGTGGCAATCTGACCAGCTAGGGCGCCTCTTTTCGGTAGAGATGGGGTAAAAGCTTTTCCCCTGAAATCCCTCCCTAGATCTCGGCCGCCCTGAGGCATCTTTTTGCCCTCTCTGAGCCTTTGCAGAGCTCAGGAAGGTGTGTTAGCAATGCAAAGGCTTGGGTTCAGAAATCAGACACAGACAATGCCCTCTTCCCAGATACTTGACTGCTGTCTTCCCCTCTCCCCAGGACACATCTAAGTTTGATGGTTGAATTGGGGAATAAAGAGATGAAAGGGTCAGAGTTCTTTTGGAGATGAAACTATCAAAGAACAGAAGGCTCTATGTATCTGTGCTGTTTACTCCATGGGGGGGGTGGGAATCAGACCCTCCTCATATACTCAGGTTGTGCCCGTCAATCCATCCTCACTTCATTCAATGCCGTAGGCTGGACCAAGATCTCCGGAGAATGAGAAGGGACTTCCTTACATGGGAGGAATCCCTCCCACGCTGCACGTCTTTGGTCCCCCTCAGACCAGAACACAGACCATTCCTGTTAGTTGGGACTGGGGGGGGTAAAGAAGGGGTCAGCTAGGCAGTGGGGTCCAGGCAGGCATCACATCTCTAGCGCCAAAGTGCAGGGGGCAGAGACCCAGGGTCCCGTCTTGGTGGGGCAGAGAGTAGGGGGAGAAAATACTGCAGTTGATTCCGCTATCGTGGATGCATCAGCAAGCATTTATTAAGTGCATACTATGTCCCAAAGGCTGTGCTGAGCACCAGTGCCTCTGCTAATCTGGGGGCTGCTGGTGCCAATGCTGGCCTCCTTGTCCAGATCTTCCCCTAAATCCTCTGCCTGAGGATCCACTCTGCCTGCTGGCGGCCTTTCTCTACTTCTCAGATGTCAGTGCAGCACTCTCTGTTCCTGTTACCCCTTCCTTTCATAACATCACCACTGTCCCCATTAGTGACCCCTTCACTCTCGCTGTATAGCTGGACCACTTCCTTTACTCGTCACACAGTTCCTTTTGTTTGCTTTCGGTTTGGGTCTGTGACTTCAAAAATGTGGGACACTCCCTCCTCTCATTTGTCAGAAACTTGTAGTCTTTGAAAGCCTATTAGAGGGCTGAAAGGTGAAGTGATTTGGCCCAGAGTGACCAGAGATTTCAGAGACAGGGCTTGTACCTGGTCTTCCCAATACTAAGGTGGGCCTTCTATCCCTCATGACTAGTGACCTCCTAGCCTTAATGTCTCCTATGGCACTTCTTCTATGTAAGCCCCTTTGTTACAAGATGCTTGCCCCCATACGAGTCTTTCCATCCTGTGGTTGGGAGTCCATCTGAGAACATGGAGTTATATGATTCACAGCATTACTAGGAGAACCTACTAAGAGAATCCTGGGCCTTGGTTGGCAGAGTGAAGGATCCTGTTTATAAGAGGAGAGAAAGAATTTGGGAGGAGGAGGAAGGGTAGGCAACAAGCCTTTGCCTTATATAAACCCAGGCCAAATGGAAAATGGGGCTGTAGCTACTTAATACTAAAATAATGAAAACTCTCCTGATAACACTTTAAGATATCCCACAACCCAGTGAGGTAGGCAGGCAGTTCAAATATGATTCATGAAGCAATTAATCATTAATCGGTATAGTGGAAACGGATTTGGACTTGGGGTCAGGAGGAACTTAGGTTCAAACTTAGTTCCAACACTTATTAGCCACGTGACCACTGGCAAGACACTGAATATCTCTGGGCCTGTCTCCTCATCTGTAAAATAATTCTTTTAAGTGCTATGTAAATGCAAGGTATTATTATCCTCATTTTGTATATGAGAAAACTGAGGCCGAGAAGGGAACAGACCAACCCAAGCTCACACAACTAGTAAATGTTAACTCACATGTTTGAATCTGGGTATCCTGATTTCAACAGCTAGTTGGCACAGTGGATAGAATGCCAGGTGTGGAGTTAGGAAGATATGAGTTCAAATACAGCCTTAGGTACTTACTAGCTGCGTGACTCTGGGCAAGTCACTTAACCCTGTTTGCCTCAGTTTCCTCATCTCTAAAATGAGCTGGAGAAGGAAATGGCAAACCACTATAGTATCTGAACCAAGAAAACCAAGTTCAGTGGTTTCCACAACACGATGCTGCATCAAAAGGTTAAAGATTTCCACTTGGTGGACAGCAGGAGAGCTAAAAGGGATGCTGAACAGCTTTCTCGCATGACCTATCCCCATCCTCCTACCGTATTACATATGTTCTCAGGTCTGAACCTCCAGGGGAGGAGGTTCTGCCTTTGGGCGAGGATACCTTTGGTGACTGGCTTCTGGGGACCAGCATATCAGGTATTACCTATATTAGGTATAGTGGCAGGTGAAAAAATTTATTAAATTTTATAAGCATGCAAGCAACAGAGGCCCAGAAAGGTTAAATGACCTAAGGTCATACAAGTAGTAAGCAAGAGAAATGGAATTTAACACCAGATCTCTTGATTGGAAAATTCATCCTTTTTTTTGGGGGGGGGGTGAGGCAATTGGGGTTAAGTGACTTGCCCAGAGTTACACAGCTAGGCTGGATTTGAACCCAGGGCCAGTGCTCTATCCATGGCACCATCTAACTGCCCCCCTTTTTTCTTATATATAATGGTTGCTTTTGTCAGTTATGGAAGGGCTAGTGTGTTTTTCATTAGAAGTGGGGCCATAATGCAGGGAATTCATGCAAAATAAGGCATCATTCCACTTCTCAAGCACCTGCAACAGGAACCCTCATTACTTAAACAACGTAGCCCATCTTAGCCTCTGATTGCTAGCAAGTTTGTCCTTAAACCAAGCTGAAATCTGTCTTCCTGGCCCTAATTTCTTTTCCTCACACCAATACTTCATATATTTCCCCTCTCCCTCCAGTCTTCTCTTGGCTAAGCATCCCCAGTTCCTTTACCCAATCTATTCCATAAACATCCCTTTATTACACTAATCACTGTCTAACTCCTTCCTAAAATACACTAGAAACTGACCACCAAATATTGGAAGTTTGCTGCAAGAGAAGTGCCCAGGGTTTTCATTCTAGTGGAAATAACTGAACAATAACGTCAAAGCTGTTACAAGCCCTTCACCTTATGTATGCCAGTTTTTAGGAGGAAGACAAACATCTGTAAGTCCAAATTTCGGTTTGAGGGATTCCACCCGCCAGAGTTTGACCACCGGCTGTTTGGGCAGCTGGCATCAAAGCAGATGGGAGCTCCTGTAGGTACACCAGAGACGGCCTGATTCACAACGTGCACAGGTTGGAGCCTCTTCATCAAAGGCCCCAAATACCAGCCTAAGGATTTTAGTGGGTTTTTTTTCTGTAGACACTGAAGGTTTCTGAGGAGTGTACCAAGAGTGTGGATCTGTCAGCATGGACAGGATGGGGTGATGTTGGGGTCATAGAAACCAGTTAGTTGGGAGACTTTTACAATAGTCAGGTTAAGAAATGAGGGCATTACCTAGGATGATTACAGTGGAAATAGGGGAGAGGTGCAAAAGATACAGTGCAAAGATAGAATCAGCAGGACTTGGTAACTCATCTGTGCTTTATATCCTGATGCATTTACCATAAATATAGGTTTTATAGCTCTTATTGTCTTATCATCCTACTAGGTGGCCCAGTGAAGAGAGCCTTGGGCCTGGAGTCAGGAAGTTTAAATTTGGTTCTCAAACACTTAATAGCTAAGTGACTCTGGGCAAGTCACTTAACTACTCTTTTCCTCAGTTTTCTTAACTGTAAAATGAAGATACAAACAGCACATACTTTGCAAAGTTATTGAAATAAAATGAGATGTGTAAATAATTTATCAAAAAAGATATTTATATCTATACATGGAACTACACATAGTTATTACATGCTACAAATATGCTCGATGAGTGGCCTTTGCTGAAAGACCTCCACAGAGAGGGAATCCACCACCTTTCCAAGCGCTCAGCTCTCAAACCCCAATTTGCCACTTTGCTTTTTCTACTCACTGCTCCTGATTTAGTCCTCTGGGATTGAACAGAGGAAGGCTAATCCTTCCCTTCCATGACAGTCCTTCAGATCCTTGAAGACACCTAGCATGTTCCACCTCGGTCTCTTCTTCTCCAGACTAAACATCCTCAGTTTCCTCAACTAACCTCAGATGACCTCAGCACCACCCTTTTTGTTATCCCGGGACACTCAATTTGTTAATATCCTTAAATAGGCACCATTACAGCTTAATACTTCTAAGGTCCAGAACAGAACAAAATATCCCAAATGAGGTTTGGAGAGAGTGGAATAGGGAGAAACAACCCCCCTGTTCCAGGAAGCTGAGCCCAGGACTACTTCAGCTTTTTTGGCTAATGCATCACACTACTGACTATTGAGTTTGTGATCCACTAAAATGCTAAGGTCTTTTTTAGAATAATTGCCACCCATGTCTCTTATAATTTCAAAATTGACTTTTTGTACCCAAATGTAAGAATTTGCCTTTATTCCTATTGAATTTCTTTTTTTATTAGGATCGATCCAAAGTTCTAGTCTAGCTTGTCACACAGTGTATTAGTATCCCTCCTAGCTTAGCAACATCTTCAAATTTGATGGGCGTACTATCTAGGCTTTTTAAAAAAATCTAAATCATTGATAAAAATGTTAAAGAGCCCACAGCCTTG